ACCCGCGACCTTTGGGATACTAGTCCAGCTTTGTAAACTTTAGCAGATTTTTTACGTTCTGCAGTTTTGGAATAAACAGAAATGCACAAACCAAAACAGCAGGTTCAATTTTAAACCAGGATTAACGCTAATCCAGCTTTGAACAATTGGCCCTGTAAGGGAAGGCCCTTACTGCACCTATAGGGAGAACAGGTCAGAGCTGATAGAGCTATCCATTATAAATTATACTTATATTATAAATTATACTTATAAACTAATATTGCATATAATTTCAGAGTTCAGAACTGATAGAGCTACTGTATCCAGTATAAATTCTATTATGTACAGTAAATATTATATTAAACTAATGTTCGGTATAATATTGCATATTATTTCAGAGTTGGCTGGCGCGGTCTGGTTCTCCCTCTTGGGCTGCTACTAGAGGCATCCGTTATAACAGCTTTCATTCATGCACACTGGGATTTTGATCCTCTGTCCCTCATAAAGGCAGTAGCTACAGGTTTCCAGTAAGTTTGGTAATCAATATCTCACTTGACGGACCTCCACTTGCCTACGACACCTCTCTAATAAGGGTACCTCTGATACAGACACTTCTTTAATACAAGCGCATATCTAATGCAGACACCTTTCTAACACGGAGACCTCTCTAACACAGAGACCTCTCGAACACAGAGACCTCTCTAACACAGAGACCTCTCCGATACAGACACCTTTCTGTCACGCCACCTGCCTCATACGGGCACCTCTCTAATCAAACTCGTACCCTCTCTAATCGTACTCGGCTTCCATGTGGGGAACTTTGAGGTGCCCCTCGTTACGAAGTTGTTCTCTATTATGGGCACTCCTCTAATACGGATACATCTGTGATACAGACACCTCTATATTACGGACACCTTAATACGGACACCTACTTAATACGAACACCTACATGTAGGTCTCTAATACGGAGACCTCTGCAATACGGACATCTCTCTACTACGGACAGTTCCATACTTTCTCACAAAATTCACATACAGTAATGACATTGTGGTTAATTTATCTAGGCAGAAATCTTTACAGGAATACATGCAATACGTCTACCTCAAACCATATTGTCGTATTCAAGTATATCTGGTTGGATTTCTCCTGGGTTACGTCATGCACAGATATAGCAACACAAAGACAAGACCACCCAGTTGGGTAAGCACATTTGAAAACTCAGAGACTGTTTGTATGGAGTTGAGCCTGGGTACCCGAGGTAGCTCACTTCAGAGACAAACTGATCATCCAAAATGTTCAGATGGACTAGCAAGTAGCAAACCAGAGGTCGCGGGTTCGATTCCCACTGCGGTCAAGCAAACTTTTCAACTTGCCTGGTGTGGACACACTCAGAGACAACATCACAAACATATTATTTACATCGTATTTTAGATGACGACACTACTTGGTTGGTCTGCAGCTGCAGTATTGGCTATGCTTCTTGTGTATGGACCGCACAAGAGTATATTACCGGGGGCTGAGAAGTGGAATAAAGCGGAAAATGTCTTGTTTGGGACATTTCATAGGTTTTTGTGGGGCCTAGTACTAGTCTGGGTCACTTATGCTTGTCATTATGGCGCTGGAGGTTAGTATAGATGCATGTTCACTTTACTGAAAACTAAGAACAAACTTTATTTATACTAGATAGATGTTGATGTTTTATACTGTTCTCCTTGGAGGTCCAGTAAGGGCAATCTATTATTACTTTAAGCACCTACGAAAATCAGTTTTTTTGTGTTCCAGGTTTGGTTCAGAAGTTTTTATCAGCAAGATTCTGGATTCCACTCAGTCGGCTAACGTATAACGTCTATCTCATTCATTACATCATATTGATTCTAATGTTCTTTGGCGCCAAAGGAACTATACATTATGATCTATACACAGCTGTAAGTACTGTATATATCCCCATTAACCCCCCCGTTCTTATTTACTTCATACATGATTGACAGGGGGGAGGGGCATTGGGAGGTGGAACTAAAATGCTTGACAATTTTCATTTCTTTAGACGTACTATTTTCTTGCGAATGTGATGCTATCCTACGGTGCTGCCTATGTTCTCTCTGTGGTCATCGAGTTTCCATGTGCAAACCTGGAGGAGTTGATTTTGAAATACATCAGAAAAGCTCGCAAGAGGGGAGACTAGGGTGTACCGCTGACATGACGTGCAAATTTCTAAATTATTCTAGAAGGCCCGGCTGAATCTTGTCGTGCTGAATCTAAATCTCCCTAAATGATCTAATTAAAGTTTTTTATTCAATGTTGAAAACCTGTTTTAAGACCCCTACTTTCTTGTAATGTAAGTAGATAGATTATATAGATGATTGTATTATTAAACAATGTTATCAAATTATTCCAAATCAAAGTGCTGGATGACCGGAAGAAAGATACTAAATGATTGAAATGAGAATTATAGCCTTTCGCCGCCATTTTTGGGGTACTTTTTTTCCAATCCTGCGAGCTTACGTAACACCACGTAACGGCGACATTTTATAATTTTATGGGTGTACGATGGTAAATTTACTCTGTAAATAGTTTGTTCTGAAATATTGCTTTTCACATTGTTATAATCGTTTACGAAAAACTACAGTACCCCAAAAGTGGCGGCGTGAGAAAACTTTTTCAGATATTCTTCCGCTCTTTTATGAGTGCATTTTAAATAAATTTTTAAAAAAAACAACATGTCCACATATTGTTTTGTCCTTTGAATACTGGAACTCAAAACAAGCGTGCGTGATTCTTAGTGGGCGCAGTTCAATAGCGCAGCGGGAACCTATATTGAACCCCGGGTAATCCACCGTTTTAATACGATTTTTTACCCCCCACAATCGGTCTCCTATTGAGAAAATTTAATTTTGCGCTTTCAGATTTTTGGATGAAAAACATGAAACAAAATTGATACCTGTGCTGTAAATTGTGTACATCATCTTCGAAATAGACTAAAATAAACTGAAATTAAAGGGGAAAACTAAGAGGATTTGTTTCTCCAAAAACGGACAAAGTTGAGCGTCTGTCGCAAGGCGTCCAACCGAGCTGTCACCTGGGATACTTTGTGATCTGATCCAATATGGCTGCCGAAGCACGCTTTTTGAAATGAATTAAATTCAACCTGTGATTTCTCACAAAAGTGAAAGCGATGGCTGAAAAGGACATGTTTCCTTTGAATCCGACCTTAATGCGAGGTTTGAACGATAAATTGTATGAAAAAAGAAAGATTGCAGCCTTAGAAATTGAACGGTGAGTCGATGGGCCCAAACTTGCAAAATATGAAAAGAGTATTTCAAGCTAAGAACTCAATATAATCATTTATACACTTTACTGTAGCTTATAATGATAGCTTTAATGTAGTGTTTATTTAATAAGCATGAAGACTTGAATAAACAAAGAATGTGTTTTTTGTAATGGAGTATTGTCCGACTTGATAATTATGATTTACACAGCAATTAGAAGTCACTTTGTTCAGTTCTATTTTTTTAAATGGACATATTAATTGCTACATATTCGTCCATATTTAAATTTACTTTAATTACAGGGTTAAAAAGTTTGCACTTTTATCATCTATTCAACTACTGAACTTTTCTATACTTTGATCAAAACCGGTTGGGGGGGGGGGGGAGATGCTTGAACTATAACAAATTGCCAGTTCAAAAGTTGTTGTGGTTGTGTCAGAACTACCTGAAAATGATAGGACCGTAATACAGCTGGGGGAGGGGGGAGGGCAATAATTTGTAAACTAGTGATAATCTGTGAAGTTTGATGAACTAATCAGCCCCCAATACAAAACTGCTTCCTACGGTAATGAGATTATACAAAATTTGACGTAATTCAGATGCAAACCTTTTACTGTAGAATGTTACCTACATTGGACTACCATGTTTGCAGTTTCTATTAAATGCCATACTTCTTTAATTTTGATGGTCTCATGATACTGAAATGTCAAGTTCCAAGCTATTTTTGATATCACAGTTGCAGGCTATTCTCATGTGAAACTCATTTTTGTCACAAGCAATTGACAGGTTTCAATCTTATCAACCAATCTTGTTTCACTATGCTTCGCAGTACAAACATTGAAAGATTTTTTGGCCACACTTCATCCTTAGATGCAAATTATTTAAACGCTAGCACAGCGTCAAATATCTTACTGTCTCATTCTGCTAATAGTATGGTTAAAGAATTCATAGCAAACAATGATGTTGCAATGATTAAAAGGCTCACATCGGTACTGACAACAGAATTCTCTGTATCTCATAATCCTCACAGTCGCAAAGGTGGGCTTATTGGGCTGGCAGCTACTGCAATTGCTTTAGGAAAGGTAATGTATATTGTTAACCTTGTAAATTGCAAAACACTTTCCTCTTCACAAATAAAATCGTCTGTCATTGCAGAGAGTAAAGTAATAACATAGGAACACACATTTGCAAGTTTAAGCAATGGTTAACAAGAGCTATGGTTTGCATGTCTGCATGGTTAGCCCATTTTCATCTCATTGAATAAAAATGTCTGATGGTACTGTAAGACAGAGTAAGATAAGGTAGAAAGTGTTATAAGAGTGCATTGCAATGTAGGGATCTTAATCATATTAAACCAATAGTTCCTAGCAGCCAAACAATAAGATAGTTATTTTTATAAGGTTTCAATTTTTACTTGAGTACTTAATTCAACTTTTCTTTTGATAAATAACTTTCAGGAATCAGTAGCTTATCTCCAGGAGTTGATACCACCGGTGCTGTCATGTTTTTACGACCAAGACAGCCGTGTTCGATACTACGCATGCGAGGCATTGTACAACATTTCGAAGGTTGCCAGAGGAGCTGTTTTACCATTTTTTAATCAGATATTTGATGGGCTTAGCAAGGTATGGTTTACTGATTTTTAGGTAAATGTAGCCCTTTTGTTTGTGGAAAGAAAGGTCATGTCAGTTTATTGTTTTTGTTACCTGTAGTTGGCATCAGACACTGATCCTAATGTCAAGAGTGGAGCTGATTTACTGGATAGATTGATTAAGGTATTAAATACTGTATTATATACTAGCTTTGGTAACAGACTAGCTTTAATAGCATACATGAGGGTGTTGCTAGCACAATGCCATTAGTTCCATTGGGTTTTGATTCCTGCAAGGTATAACTGTCTGTTTATAAGTGAGAAGAATAAATTCAGTTTGATTCTACCAAAAACATACCACAGATTTTCTCCCCAACAGTGCCCCACTCTGGTTTTAAATACCTCTAGTAAAATTTAACTATTGGGAGATGGCCCTCAATTCCTGGACCCCCAGGCCTGATATAGAGGAACTAAGGAAGAATAGGCCTGTCAGTCTGATAAAGTTTGTTCAGTGTACGTCTCCTTGTAAAGTAACACTGGAGTAACAAGAGATGTAACTCTTGGCAGAACAGTCTAGAATTGATAGAGCACCCGAGTACAAGGGTTAGGACTTAGGGTCCCAGAGCTCTAGGTATTTGTAAGTTTTTAAAACTGTCTATTTGCATTCTAATGCTTTCAGTTCAAATCAACCAATGTGATTATAGTAAAAACACTTTTATCAGAATATTTGTTTTCACCAGTTTTCCATATTTTTAATTTCTAGGACATTGTTACCGAGAGTACTTCATTTGATCTTGTGTCTTTCATTCCTTTACTGAGAGACAGAATGTACACAACAAATCCTTTTGCTAAACAATTTATTGTCTCATGGGTAAGATGGCTTCTTTTCTTCTCTATCTGATAGAGGAGAATAATGTCAATGTGTGCAATAATGTTACTAAATTTGTACAATCCATATTTATTACAGTATTACAGTATAGATAGCCAAGTCATCTTGTTTCTTATTAGTAGTATACGGACTGCCAAAGACCTTAGTGCCATTGCAATTACCTACTGCATTTTACTTAACTTTACTTTACTTAGTTTTAATTTTGGGCTGCTAACATGTAATAGTGTATTACTAATTAGTTTATACTGTATATTCAAATGAATTCTCTGAATGAATGATTAATTGTCTAGTTTGTTCTCAGATTTTAGTTCTGGATTCAGTTCCTGATCTTGACATGATAGTTCACTTGCCTGAGATTCTGGATGGTATTTTCACGATATTTCAAGATAAATCGGCCGAAATAAGAAAGATGTATGTTTGAATGAATGAATGAACAACTTTATTTAAAGAGGGTAGAAAACACATGACTGCAATATAACTTGAAAAACGTGTTGCTCTCAAAGTTAAATTGCACTAATACGAACCACAAACAGAGGAGGGGGTTTTGCGCAATTATTTAGAAAAATAATTTTCGATCCAAGTATCCCATTAATGTCACTGAATTTTAGCATTTGTTACAAATCACTGAAAATCTAGACACCAATCCCCTTCCCATGCTTACGTACTAAATGGATGCTCCTTATTCTACACAGGTGCGAGGCTGCTCTTGGAGAGTTTCTACGTGAGATAAAAAAGTCTCCTGAAAATGTGAACTTCGCTGATATGGTCAACATTGTTGTAGTTCATTCCACTTCCAGTGGTAAGGAACGGACACTTGTAAAAGAAAAGAACAATTGATTATACAGAGAAATGAACAAGAGAAATTACTAATTTTATAAATATTAATAGTTTTACAACCGGTTGTTAAAAAACATATTGTTTTTAGCCCGGTTGAAAACGGTACCTACTGCTCGTCAAGAAAATCGAAAATGTGGTACACAAGCTAGGGGCCGATTGTATAAGAAGCAGTTAAAGTTAACTGTAGTTATTGCGAAAGTTATCCAAACAGCATCGCGTGCTTTCGAGTTAACCACTTTTAAACTGCAAATTGGCTATAGTTATCTGGCATGTTTGTTTACACTGGTTTACTGCAAAGGCATGGTTCAAAGTTTCTCTGATCACAGTAGGAATTTTGCATCTAGGTAAATTCTAAGACTAAGTTTTTGAAGGATTTATTAAACGGAGTAACACAGAGTTAGTTCCCTCAAACATTTCTTACAAATCCTTGAAAACGTAGAATTTACCAGAGGTAAAATTTCTACTGTGATCACAGAAACGTTGATATGGTAAACCATGAATGTAATTCCTGAAAAAATTATACTCAGGGCCCGACACTCCAGTGTAGCGTCCTTATGGTGGAGTCTTAAGCCGTAATGTGGCTCTGGGGAAGAGATAATCGCTTATCTATTATTTAATTATCTTTTTTATTTATTTTATCTATCTAAAATGCCCCATTTGTTATGCATTTAATTCTACTTCTTTGCTTCCACGTCTTTTTCTACAGATGAAATAATCCAATTCACGGCTGTGCTTTGGTTACGGGAGTTTTTGTCTCTTTCTGGTCGAACAATGATACCATACTGTGCTAACATACTGTCCGCTGTTTTGCCCTGCGTCTCGTACGAACATTGTAAATTTAGTATCCTTTTGTTTATATTTAAGACTCAACTAAACTAAACTGAATTGACTTTATTTATAGTGGATTATTTTATCACTTCGAAACTGTGCTTCCTAGAGTTGCAGTTGGTTCAATTATTGAATACACAGAACTAGGAGGTCCAGCCGTCCAGAGGCACGGTTTCCCGGAAAATTTTTCTATTTCTCAGTTTTGAAAGAACTCCAAAATTTGTCCTGAAGAAGAGTTAAAGTCCGGACGGTCCGGACTCCCCATTCTCCCTGCCCCGTGGCTACCCCCCCCCCCCCCCCCCCCCCCCCCCCCCCCCCGCCGTACGACCAAAACGCACTCTTATCTTCTTTATCGCGTTCCGTTAATATGGAAGCTACCAGTGGGACGTCCTGGCATCCGTTTAAATCCGAGCAAATGGAGAGTTTTGCCTCTCATATATTTACCCTTAATTCAAAACAAGATACCAAAGAAGTTGCAACGAATGTCAATCAGCGTGTCCGCGATCTTATCACGACAGATGACGATAACGAAACGAGTAGTCCCGAGCGGTCTATGAAGAACTCCGAAAGAATGGACTGTGATATGGAGTCAGTAGAGTATAACTTGGATCTTGGATCCGTTCTGACAATACTCACCTCTCAACTGAGCAATGAGAATGTACTGACACGTCTGGCTGTACTGAAATGGGTGTTGTTGCTCTTAGATAAAACACCGAGTAAGGTGAGATAAATATAGTTAGTGGCCAGACAGTTGGTATGTAAGGGATTTGTAGACGGAATTTTTGAGTGGAAATTTTATACATTTTTAGACCTAACGGCTAACCGGGAACAGCTTCTTAAAATTAAATGCGGCTCTGCGATTCCGGTGCAGCGCTGTAACCAACTGAGCTACAGAGAGCCAGTTGTTGAGCTCTAGATCTAACCACAAGTTCATGTAGGCTAGAGACTTTAGGTTCGATTCTCAGTTGAAGATTTGGAAAATAGGTTTTCAGGAAGTTTTTCGATTCCATTTGGGCTCAACAAGTTACAATGCCTACAGCGCCTATATAGTATGTCAGCCGGCCAAAGTGAACAAACTCAAAGTCTAATAATTTATGCACGTGTTTCATGGTTTCTAAATGAAATTGAAATTTCAGTTCAGGAAACAACTTCTTGTTTCGATCTTTACAGCTATTCAAGCACATGGAGAAAATATTTCCTGTTTTATTGGATAGAGTATCGGATTCGTCAGACGATGTAAGTATAAATATATGGCATAGTGGAGATATTACTTATTCATTTGTACATAACGTGATCACGTGTCATATACGTCACATTGGTGGCACAGTGGATATTGTGTTGCCTTTCACCTGTATGCGCAGTTGTTTGTGTTGTAATATAACAGACATTAGATGACGGTAATGCCCTTATAATACGCCGTCATTTTCCGTGTAGGTTGTAATGGCAGATTTAGAAGTGCTATCCGTAATCTCGGCCTCAGAAGCTGGGCTGCCTATGTCATCAGAGATTACGTCACCAGACAAGACTGCCAATGGAAAGTCATCGGCGAAAAATATAAATGAATATTTTTATAAATTTCTTTTAAACTTGGTGGCGAAGTTTCGAATAGATGGAAAGTTACTCGAGGAGAAAGGTTGTTTTATTATTAGGTGAGTTTGGATAAGAACATTTCCTTCGATGGTGATATTGGTAAGTCTCGAAACTGACCAAACTGTGATGTCACAATGAGTAGGAAGAGGTTATTTCGCTCGCCTCAGAGTGACAAAACATAACAAAGCAACGGTTTTACTAACACTAACCCTATTCCAAACACTAACCCTAATCCGGCCTAACCCTACTCCAAGCTGGTTTCTAAACCAATCTTGAAGAAAACGTTTTGACGAAATGTCATTCTGAGGTCAACGAACTAACCTTTTCGCAATGAGTATTGGTCTGAGGCCGGTTGTACGAAAGCCGGATAATGCTATTTCCCGGGTAGGGCTATTCCCACGGGTATAGGGATATTCACTGGATAGTGATTTTGTTCAAGGAAAAATGGTTAAAAAGGAAATGTAAGCAGGAATATTAATTTAACCGAAATAGGGTTATTTCTAGGAAAACCAGGGAAATTTTAACCGTGTGTTATTAAATAAATCTATGTTTTAATCCTTTCTTCTTAGACATCTGTGTTTGTTACTGAGTTCCGAGGACATTTATCGTACCTTAGCGGAGATTCTTTTACAAGAAAACGATTTAAAATTTGCGTCATTGATGGTAAAAACACTGAACATTATTTTACTCACTTCAAGTGAACTATTTGAACTACGACACAAGTTGAAAGAGTTGAAAACCAGGGTAATGTATGCACGGTCACGTAATTTCAGACAGGGGTAATACCAACCGTCACAGATTGTCACAGAGGGTGGGGGGGGGGGGCTCTGAAGTAAAACAACTTATATGGTACAATCTACCATCTAATGTAACAAATTTACTCAATGGTAAGGCACAGCGCAATCGCATATATAAGCAGGAATAATTTAAGGAATAATTTAAAATTTGCAGGGATAATAAAACTCAAATACGATTCATATTTGTTCTTTGTTGTAGGAAAGTTGTGAATTATTCAGTGCATTGTACAAGTCTTGGTGTCATAATGCTGTCGCTACATTCTCGCTGTGTCTTCTAACACAAACATACCAGCATGGCTGTGATCTTCTAATGATGTTGTATCCTAATATCAGTGATATGCCTGTATTTATTCATTCGTACGCTCAAACTTTAGTAAGATGGCACAGTCTTCGGTGTTGCTTTTAGTTTGACTCAACCAAAACTACAGATTGTCTTTAATTACACGAGTTTCTTCTTGTATAGTGTAGTATATTATGGTATGGTGTGTGGTATGATACGGTATGGTATAGCCTGAATGGTATGGTGTATGGTATGGTATGATATAACACTGTCTGCACTGGATATTCAATAAGGGATGGTCCTTACAGAACCACCAAAGCAGCACTTTAGTACAGATGACAATATTAAGTCAAATCACTTTAATCTTTCTTGAATATTCCTTGACATTTTCTAGCGGTGATCTCGAAGTACATGTTGATTTTTTAGTTCAAATAGACAAATTGGTCCAGCTTATAGAATCTCCGATATTTACTTGTGAGTTATTCATTATGTTCATTCTTACCGTTGCAAAAAACTATCCGACTTCGGAAAACATGTTGAAACATAGCTAGGAAACAATGTTTCGATTTTTTCGCAACGACAATTCAATTCCTGGCAATAAATATGTTTTTTCAGTTTGTATTCTTTTGCTGTTCTTTAATATTTCTCAATGTTTCTTTCTTCTAGATTTAAGATTACAACTTCTGGACACACAAAATAATTTTTATCTTTTAAAATCGTTGTATGGTCTTTTAATGTTGCTGCCACAAAGCGATGCATTTACAACATTACGTCATCGACTGGACTGTGTTCCAAATGGCCATCTTTTGCAGTCACCACAAACCAAGTGAGTATTACATTAAGAAATATCGAGATTTTTGGGGGCATCGCGCTCGGTAGAACGAACAGTTGAAGGATTTTTTTGCTGATGTGAATTTCGAGCAGAAAATGATATATAATTGAATTTTTAGACTTAATCAGGAGCAGTTGCGAAAAATGCAACTACGGGTCCTCTGGCGGGAATTGAACCTGCGCCTTTGCGATTCTGGGGCAGCGCTCTAACCAACTGAGCTACAGAGTCCAATTGTCGAGTTCTAACCACAAAAACTTGCAGGGCTGCAGGTTGGATTCCTGCCAGAACGCCTGCTATAGTTTCATTTTTCGCAACTTGTCCGATTGGTGAGTTTTATGGCAGCGACTTTTACGGCAAACCGCCCACAAACGGCAATCTTCAAATCGCATTTGAAGATAAGTTCTTCAAGTTTCCGACAATAAAGTAGCTAATTCATTCTTCAATTTATTATAATGCACAAATTGTCCTAACTTCGAACAGCTAACAGTTGACTACACGGCAAAAACGCCGAGACCGTTGCTCAACAGGACTGAACAATGTTTTGCTGCCCACGTTGTTCACACTTGTCAACAATATTGAACAATGTTGTTGAGCCTGAATCGGGTGTAACAATATTGTTCAATGTTGTTGACAGCTGTGAACAATGTGGGCAGCAAAACATTGTTTAATCCTGTTTTCATCAGTATTGCATCAACCTGAGCGTTTTTTGCCGTGTAACAGTTTTCCGTTTGTGGTTAGCGGTCCGCCGTAAACGTCAATCTCCGTTTAAACTTGCAATTTTTATGGTGATTTTAATAGCTGGGATTTTCGTCTTCTGATCGATGTGAACGAGTAGATAAGTTATAATGCTCAGATGAGGGTACATATTCTCAGAACATTCATAATTCATCTACTTGTTCACATGCATCAGAAGACGAAAATCGCACTAGAAATGTAAACAGGTCTAAGGTCTCTAGATTTTAGAGTGCTCAATGATGAAACCCTTCACTTATTCAATCATTTAGCAAAACTCTAATCAATTAACACCGTTGTTCCTCAGGGGCAAGGACTTCGAGAAACGGGAATACGTGAAGAAAATCGACTTTACAGCTCTTCTGCAACATTTTAAAACCGTCCAAGATCGACATGTCACTCGGAGGCATCGAAAAGAACCAATCACAAACGGGCTGGAGCCCACCTGATGGTTTTGTTAAGGTGGCTCCGTATGCAGTATTTTAATTAAATCCCAGATGCTGTTTCTTTATATCCATACGCCCAAACAATAACCTGATTTATACTAGACAACTTAGAGACCAGATATTCAGACAAACTATCTGGAATAACGCGATCTGTAAATACTGGCAATTTTTCTGGTAACAAATCATGCCTGAATCCTGATATTTTCCTGGTTAACGCCCAATTTATACAGGATGCTGGTGTAGACAATCACGACGCAGAAAGTTTATCATCTGTTTGCTGCATTTATATCCAGATTATTCGAGAACAATTTTCCAAGTTCGTCCAGACGGATTAGAACGGATCATCCGTCTCTAATACGAATTGTTTTAGCATTTGATTGATATTATGATTGTAATAATCCTATTCATAAGTTTATAGAAGCATAGAGAGCCACCTAGAACCAATTATGTACAAACTAAAATATTTATGAAATCCACCATTCACCAGTCCTGTACAAACATTATACTGTATTTTTTAAATAAATGTAATATCCTAAAAGACCACATGAACAGTAGTTATATGTGCTCTGTGCATTGTTTCCCAAGTTTGCAACTGGTCAGAATACTTTCAAGTTTTGGATTTATGGCTGCATGAGGAAGAGCAACGTGGCAAGAGCCTGAGTACGGACAAGAATACAATGACAAATATCATGAGATGGTTTGAAATCATTATTACATGACAAGGTAAGAGAGTCATTTTAATATATTGCATTTTATTAAACAAAACATTTTTTTATATTTACAACATTTGACTAGTTTAGGTTATGTTCTTAGTGTTTCATAATATATCGCAAACCACAGTAACCACATGCTTGAGGTCCTTCCTGATCCTAGGAGAAAGAAAGAATACACCACTATAAACATACCAACAGTAAACATGTCTATGCTCCTGGGAAACTTTAATGTTTGTCACAAGCATCAGTTTAGGTTTCAGCCAATCACAAATTAACTAGCTTCACACTGATTGGTTGAGCTGAACCTTGAATGCTCATTACAAACATCAAAGTTTCATGTGAAAATTGAGAATGTTTTATCTGTGCTTGTATATCCTTACATGTAAACAACAGTTAAACTACAATATAGCATAGGTAATTACAATAAACGTGAACATTTGGACGACTAACCAGGTTGATGTAAACTTTAGGATGACCAAGTGCAGCATGACCTAAATGATGGATAATTATGCAGTCCTATTAACTTGGTACTCAGTACAGCAACCAGAGATTAATTGAGCATACTGTACCAATCAAATGATAATCTTTACAAAGTGCTGTAGTGGGTACCACCCTAAACACCTACCACCATCACACCAAACTACTCTGGAGTCAACTTCTATTGGAAGCTCTTCATCAATAAGATCAACAGCAAATTGTTCATTTACCTAAATATATAATAGGAATAAGAGTCAATTATTAACTTATTATCAATATTATTCTTAGTTATTTAGTGTTTAGTTTGCAAATACAAAATTGCTCACAGTTTTTTCTCTGTTTGTAAAACGAACTCTCTTGTAGTCATCCTTTTCATACACCTAAATATTTGAAAGCAATACAACATTTTTTGTGTATCAAAAACAACTTTTCAATCAATGTACACTGTTTTGATTCAGATATTCAGTGCTAAATGTACATACTTGTCCAGTGTGTGTGACGGTGTCTGCATTGGCAAGACTTCTAGATGTAGTAGATATAAAAATACGAGCGATATTTGTGTTTTTAACGTTTAAAAGTCTGCGAGAAAATATTCTTGACACAGCAGCCATTATGAAATATTGCAGACGACTATAATGTAACATTACATGAAGTATTCAAAGTGCAAACATTTCTCAGTTAAAAAGAAGAAAGATATCCTTGAAAACAGGAATTTAGCTTGAATTCTTCTTTTCAAAAGGATTACTTTGACAGTTTGACTTTGTGTACGACCTCAAAGAGCAGGAAATGGTATTCATGAGACCCAGGTTTTCAAAATAGTTGCACTTCTAGCGAAATCAGTAGCACATTGTGCTCTTGATAGTGGTATTTGAATAAGCCCTTGTATTAAGTTATGTAAGTTTTATATGTAGTTGATTTTTAATCTCACGAATGGGATTCGTCAAGCAGAAGTTTAATACACCGAAATCACCCTCTGGAAATCACCATAGAAAAGTGAACAAAAAAGTGAACATGTGAAATAACTTAATTAAGGATTTTTTTGGAAAGTAAGGAATTTCAGTGCTCTTAGCAAGGAATTCGTGAGAATCCTGAAAACAATATGGCGGACAAAAAACACAAGAAAAAGCAAAAGGAAAAGAGAAAAGACAAAAATAAAGATGATATAGAGCTTTACAAGCACTATGAAACATTGTAAGTAACACACCAGGATGTGTTTTGTTTCTACTGTGAAATAGTTGGTAATTGTGTATTTTTAAAAGTTTACAGCAAAAACATATTAAAAGGCCTACTATAAATTGTCAGCTTGTTTGTTTTATATTTCTAAACTTTTTTTGGTATGACTTTTTGGTATGAATAAAATGTTGTACTTATATATTTTTACTGTTTTTTTTTAAACTTTTTAGTTATGAGTCTGCACCACCTGGATATGTTCGAGTAAGTGGTACCTAGGGGTGTGGGTGTTCATGGCACTCCTTGTGTGTGTGGTGGGTGCAGTCCATGACGGACAGATGTGTGCGGGCTGACCACACTGTGGCGTAGCAAGCTAGAGTGCCTGGGTGCAGGGTAGAACTTGTACATCAGTAAAACACAAGCTAATATTTGTAGCAGTAGCGAGTTTATAGCTGCTGTGAAACATATTTTACCATTCATAAGGTTGAAGAGGAAAAGCCAGAAGATTGTATTCCTGATCTTCCTGAGAATGAACAAGCTCGGGAATTTTTATCTAAAGCACCGAAAAAAGGATTGTGGATGCCTCTTGGAAAGGAGGTTAAAGTTATGAAATGTAAGACAGCTGACAGTCGGTCGATTGTAGCAATGGATGTCTTCCTAAAATATTCTACCAATTCATTTGCGCATGTGAACCAATGGACCTTAGAAGTGTCATATTTTAGGTTTCAGAGCTATATGCTGTTAAAATTCCAGTTTTTTAAAATTGTACCTGCACAAATTTGAAAGGTGCCTAAAGAGATTGAAAGCTCACATGTTTTAATGATGTCTGTGGCTTGCCCCCTCTGTTCTGGCATCTTTACAATATTCATGTTTAAGTGGTGAGTTATTATGATGATGTTATTATGATGTTTTATCATTATGTCAGGTTGGAGATGCAAGTCATATGGTCACAGAACTGGAGATAAAGAATGTCCAATGTTTGTTTCAGGCAACCAAACCAGTGAAAGATTTAGAATGGTACTGGATAAAAATTAGAATATATAATTAATTTAATTATTAAAACACCTGTTTAAAAGCTTACATGCATGATTTCATTAAGGCACATGAAGATCCCATGCATGACTTTATTGTTGAGAAAAAGAAAACTGAAAAAGAACAAAGGTAATTAGTCACTGTCAATGCCTAGCAGTTTGACTGTATTCAGTACACTTTTGTATTTCAAATTGTTGGTGACAATTTAAGGTACTTTGATTCATGTATTGTTATTAACCCATTAATTAGCTGCAGAGCTTCCCCATTGACAAGTAAAATCGTCTTGCATTAGACAAATAAAAAAAAGTTGGGTGCACTGGGGCACATTGCATGGGTTAATAAACAAACTTTATTACAGATTTTATATAAGGTTTAAAACTGAAAAGACTTGATAAAACATGCTGTGCAAATGTTTAATAAAACGAATTAAAAAACGTAAACTTTACAACTTTGAAATCTTTTCATACCATATAGCCATACCACATTGAAACAAATGCTCATATGCCCAGTAATTAAACATGTTTTGAGCATGACAACAGTGGCCTACAACTTTTGGAAAATCACCAAGCTATTAAGAAAATATTTGTATCCACGCCCGTCTATTAAGTATTAATTTAAAAATTGTGCTAAGGATTAGTAATTGTAGACGTTTATATTTTTAGTATTAAACAAGTAAATATGTCAAGAAAGCGAGTATCTAAGAGACCAAATACTTTTTTCTTTGCACAGAATTGAGCAGTTGAAGGCATTACTGGAAGAACCCACTACATCGGAAAATGATTCTAGCAGTGAAAGTAGTGATGCGTCTTCCACGCATCGTAAACACAAGAAGCGGAAACGTAATACAAGAAAATCTGACAGAGATTCTAGCAGCGACTCTCACGCCACGCGGAAAAGACGAAAAAAGCGAAAACATAAGTCTGACAAAGCAGTAAACTCTGACAGTGACTCAAGTGAAAGTAATCCAGACAAGAAACACCAACAGAAAAAGCAAAAACATAAGTCAAGAACGACAAGAAGAGAATCGTATGGAAATGAAAGAAATTATAGAAGTAGCGATAGGAACGAGCATGGTCATAGTCATAGGGGAAAAGACAAGAGGGACAGAGGGAACAGTTAAATATCAATTTATTTTGGGGTTTAATTATTTACCAGTAATTTTTAACTATCATCGACCTCCAAGATCAGATTGAAATCAAAGCAATCAGGTCTCTTTGAAAGCAGTTTAGTTAGATGCCATCCACAGCAACTTATTGCAAAATATCCAAAAATGCCCCATCATTTGAAAAATCGAAGGGAGAGTGTTGCCCTTTAACGGGTTAAACCTATAAACTAATCAAGTGGCGGTCGGTCAAGTCCGCTATCGAATGTCAACTACTGTCTTACTGACATGATGTCAGCAGTTCGTACCTTTAGTGCCAGATTAACCTTTCCAGGGCCGGCCAGGGCTGTGCTTTTTATCTAACTTATAAAATATATCTTTACTACTGTTTATGTCATAAAAAATACAAATCTGATTGGCTAAATGAAGTGATCCGTTAATCCCACCAAGCTTGTTCGCAGAAAATCAACGTGTTTTCCAAAAATTATCGATACAAACTAAGCATATATTGTAAAAGGCCCGGTTATTTAGAAACAATAAAGCCGGGTTGTTTCACAGAAAAAGAACATTTACTAAGTTACAGCATCTGTAAATTATATGATTCTGTATGAATTTTTACATATTTTCAAACCTTTAGAGTATTCATCAATTTTAGAATATATTCTTTTAAGGCAGTTCGTTATAGAGACTCCCTTCTCTTAGATAATCCGGCAATGCGAACAAGCTGAAACAAAATGGCTTGATTGTTAATGTTTTTTATTATATAAACATAAGTGTTATATAGAGTTTTTGGCCACTGAGAAAAATCGTATTTAATTAACACACGTAAAAAATACGATATTTTTACGTGTGAAAATATCATTTGTTGTAAAACGCATTGCCATGGACGTTTTGTTTTTCACTGAATTTTGTTTATATAATAAACAGAATGCGCTCACTCGTGAGATATCATGTTCAACACGAGAAATAAATCTGGTATTTCCAAGCACCCATGTATTATTCTCTATGTAATAAGATATCGAGTTTATGGATGGTGTACGGGCTTTGCTCTAATCCTTAAATTGAAGCGGTATTTTCAATAACTTTTGCTCGACTTTTCAAAAAAGTTTGACGGCGAGTTTTGTGTAGACCTGTGTAGCCCTTTGCGGAGATTAGTAAAGATTAATTTAAGTCAAGATAATCTCGTTCTAAGTCTTGACAACGTATCAACACTAGTCTAATACGGCACCTCTAAATATTTTATGTGGTTTTCCTGTCACTATGCCTAACATTTATACACAATTTTTTTCTGAGATTTTTTCCCCAAGACTGAAATTTCCAGAATTTGACGGAGGGCCGGCCCCTGATTGGTTGGCGCAATTCAATATGTCAAATATGGCGGCCAAGCCAAAGTTTTCAAGTACTCCCGCTTCGGTTATTTACGCTCAAAGTTGGCCAGTTCCTTCGACTAAGTCTTTTTCTCAACGTTACCCAGTTAAGGCTAACAGGTGAAGGGTTATATTAAATTTATATTTGCTAATTAAAGACAGGTGATATTTTTGCATTAAAATTAAAAGCCGGCAGCTGGTAGATTTGACTTTATAATTGACATAAACAAACTTTATACAAGCCGGCTTAACAAACAGTTAAATCATCTTTTCATCCTTAGCAACAGTCAGACGAAAAGCCTCGATAATTCGCCGTGGATTTGTAAGCCGAAGCGACAAGTAAAAAGACCTCAAAAGGTTGCTAGCCCTGCAATACATCAGGTATAGAATAAATTGACTTGCAGACATTCAAATCTTTTTATATTTTAATCAGTATTTATATATAATCTTTGATAGACTTACTGTATGTATGACTATGTAGTATAGAATGTATTTAATATATAATTTTAAAATTGAAAAGCATAGTTATATTTGTCGTAAATATGAAGTAAAACCATGGTTACAGAAAGTTCAATAAATATTTCACTGCAGTGGAAATCCGATACAAATCTAAAACAAAATTTTCAAAATCCTATAACTTGCACCCTGAAGGTCCAAACATGAAATCTTCAGTATAGATAAATTTGAGCATGAAGATTTTATGGGGTCCATTTGACCAAACATGAAGATGAAAAACGATAAAAACTTGGACAGGAAATTATGTGATGATCATGCGTGGGCCCAGGCCAGATCTGCACTGTGCCACAGAGTAGAGACATACAGAGACATAACTAGTGTACCCACTTTTTTTGTGTGCAAGTTACTAGATGCATGCATCTGATTGGATGACGACTCACTTTAAACTTGCTGAGCATGCACAGTTGATCATTTTTTGCCTGGTCGCCTGAAAAAAGTGGGTACATGAAAACGTAAACTTCTGTAGTGTTTACAACGGTAAATTACGTCTCTGTATGTCTCTACTCTGTGACTGTGCACAGAAGATCTTCCGCGCGCATTTTTGATGCTTTCTATACAGGGTGTCCCAAAAAAAAGTGACACTATAGAAATTATCTCATTGTTCTTAAGCCGCTCTTAAATGCGCTTTACACGCCTGGGAATTTAATGAACTTGTATTTACATTTAAGCATTTTAAAATGTTTTCGCTTTGTCCAAATATTTTAACGCCCAAGTCAAGCAAAACGATTACACTAATAAACGGTTTGCTTTTTTATTTTAAATTCCAGAAGCAGAAGTTTATGCACCTGTGGGATCAACTTAGTGCTAGGGCATTCAAATTATAACAATAGGATAATTTCTATATAGTGTCACTTTTTTTGGGACACCCTGTATATTTACTATTAAATTTTTGAAATCTCCAGCGCGCAATTTCCCAATCTCGTTCCCCGAGCCTGCGATCCTCGGCAAGGAACGCGAGGCTCTGGGATAATCCGTTGCCGGAAGCCAGGAATCCTGGCTAAGATTGAACTACGCATTCATTTCAACGGCCAATCAGATTCCTCCCTGAAACGGATTATCCCAGAGCCTCACGTTCCTTCCTGAGGATCGCAAGCTCAGGGAATGAGATTGGCAATTTCCAAACTTTCCAGTCTGGGGCCCAGGCCTGGTGCTAAAGGGGGGGGGGGGGTTATAACACACCTCCAAACAGCAGGTAGTTGGAAAAATATTGAATCCCAGTCAGCAAAACATGGATTTGGATAGGAAGAGAAAAGAAATAATGTGACATTGCTATGAGGCAGGGGCGGCGGAACGGATTTCAGTTTGGGGGGGCTAAATTTTACGTGACCTCCCCCCCCTGTCGCCAAAAAAATTTCGGTCAGTGTACCATTTTAGGGGTGGAAAAATTTTTCCGGACATATACAGGAAAAGGGATGAAAAAAATTTTTAAACAAAATATCCCAAATTTTTCCCATTATACCTAAATTTTCAAAAAATAACCTACATTTTTCCTTAATTATCAAAATTTTTCCAGAGAAAACAAAATTTTCTGGGGGCCCACTTTTACTTTTGGGGGGGCTTTAGCCCCCCTGTTCCGCCGCCACTGCTATGAGGTGGAGAAATTTACCAAAAAATATGGGGAAAATGGAACGAAGAACGATGGTTATTAAACACAAAATAATATTGAGAAATATGTTCTCTGAAAAAATTTTTTTTGATGGTGGTATTTGGTAGTATTTTATAAAATGAATTAAAAAGACTAAAATACTTTGACATTTTGACCTTTTTTTAATAATGACCTTTCTGAGTTCTTAGATTCTGGATAATTCATATACTACTAAGTTGTATTCAATGCTTATACAACCATTATTTTCTTGTTTAGTCCCCCTCATGGGCAAGTTCTATGTTGAGCAGCAACTATCCAGGATGGCTTGAAAGTGATGGCCATGTTGTACTTGGTAAGCCTGGAAGTTTTGTTTGATTCACTTTATATATATTGAATGATGTGATGAGTATATGTGAGCTCACTGCCAGTTTTGCGAGCCAGCTAGTTACAGTGACTCCTTGACAATTTAATAGCTAAGTGTATGTTTTAATTTACTGTAATTGCAGATATGGCCAAAGAATTCAAAATGACATTGGTAAGACAATCATAAAATTATTGGATCCATCAAGAGCCTGGGACCAAATGTGGCTATATTAGACTTGAAATTAAATATTGTGTGATATTTCAGAATCACTTTGTATTAACTATTTTACAATTTCTTTTATGTTTTCAACGTTTTTAGCAAATGTTTAAAAAGCTAACAGATCAGGTTAAAGAAGTTGATGAACAACTAAACTCTTGTAGAAAACCTTACTCATTCAAGGTATAGTAAAACAAAATTTGAAGAAAAAAAAAGGGAAAGACTCAAATTATGTTTTTCTAAGTATTTTTGGAATGGGTTCTGACTTGATGATCTGTATATTCTGGGGTTATTGTTCTGGCTGGAACTAATGAAAAATGCATGGCTGGAATTGAAACAAAAGATAGAAATTTTGTTTTTTTCTTTCAGCATTACTTCAGCAACAAAAATCGTTACAACACCAGAAGGACCAATATGAGATCGTACACACCAGAGATACCAATGACCAATGAGGAATATCAGCCCTGTAACAACTTGGGTTTCAAGAGAGAACAACAGCGACCACCCAGTCAATTTGGAATGTACAGGTATATTTAACCCTTTGAGTGGCAGCGCTCTCCCCTTGATGAGTAAACTCATCTGATGTTAGACAGAGTAAAATAATAAAGTACCATAAGTGCATCAGGGTGCAGTGCACTAATGTAGCTTATTGAGTTAAACTGAAAATTTCCATGATAATTTGAAAGAGGCATTACAATTATTATTATTTGGTTAATTAATATTTTATAATATATTTCTTTTAGGAAAGCGGATAAGCCATACACCAATACTTCCAATTCAAAGCATGAAATCTGGCCTTCGCCAAACACAGGAAAACTGAAACCGCCCGAATGGCAAGTAGAAGAATCCCTTGTTAACGAGAATGATGATAATCATACTCCTGGATTTCAAAATGAGCATTTCCGAAACGAAGCCAGCATAGATTTGGACTTTAACGATGGAGACATTTTTTGGTCTGGTTGCCTTGAATTCAGTGACGAAGACAACCATGCAGGGTTGGGGTACATTGATCCGGTTCCTGAAGATTGGGAAGTGAGGAAATTAGAGGAGCTCGAATTGGAATATTGTTCTGATAAAAGTGGAAGCGATCCTTTTATGGTGAGGTACTTACAATTACGTCGACTGGAAATTGAAACCGTCGAGCTGGATAGAGGAAATGGAATTAGCAACCCTAACTCCGTTCCAGCTTTAGAAAGTGGACTAAATAAGGTCACTATTACCAATAAAGGAAAGAAGACTACAAGCAGTAAAAAACAGAGCTCAAAAATTAACGGAGCTTCTGAAAATGTAGAGAAAAATCCACGAAGAGTTTTGAAAAAATCTAGCACTTCCTCGTTGCAAGATTTTGAAAAATACATCGAGGAGAAAGGAGTGAGGAGTTTTAAAAAAGAAAGCAAGGATTCGCGCAAGGAGACGGCGAAGGACATAAAACAAGCGAAAATAGGAAACAGCGAAAAGAGAAGTCAATGTAAGTCTGCCAAAGGAAAACGACGTGTTCAAAGTTGCAAGAGTCGACCTGCGTCCTACTCATCTTCGGTTACTTATGATATTTTAGAACTTGCGGCAAGTTTTGACCCGCCTAGTAAAGAACGCATGAAGTTGAATCCTAGACCGGTTACAGCGAAATCTGCGAAATCTAAAGGAATGATACCTGGGAAAACGTGGTCGTCCCAGAGAAGGTTCTCCCTAACTGCTGGACAAAGTCTACAGAGTTTGCCATCGGATATTTGTGATTCGGTCGTCAGTAAATCCAGGGCTTCAAGCGCGAAGAAACGTAGCAAGAGAAATACAAAACGATGCAGCAGTTCCAAGTTTTAAACTTTTCCCGTTTATTTGTTTGTAGATATAAATTATTACGGAAATTTGAAATATTTATAAGTATATTAAATATGTTGAAAAGTGCTTATATCTCGACACTTGAACTCAATTTCACTCGAAACCTCGAAGCGCTTTTTGACCTTTTTTAGGTAATTCAGACATGATTTGCATGCAAACGAGTCACAATAAGGCTGTTGAGTGTTGTCAAGCCGATATCAGGATGTGTTTGCACTGCTTGGCCCCAGTTGTTGTGACAAGCCTGGAACAAGTTGTTACTTAGTTGACAAGGTTGATATTGGTAACAGACTTGCTGCAAGTTGTTCCGACATGACTAATATACAAGTTGTTCGAACTTGTTTCATCAACTTGTTACGACGTGCAGACGATATCAGACTTGTTGGAGCTGCGTGTTGCGCGTGTGTTGGTCTCATCAATCTTGTGGCAAGATGATAACAATTTGTTCCAGACTTATCAACAACTGAGAACAAGGAAGGCGACACATCTTCTTGGGTCTAGTCCTATGAGGAATTTGAATTAACATACTATTCCTGTAGGCCATTTTACATGGCCATTCCGCCTTTTACATAACTGGTTTATAAAATTTAACACATTGAGCCACAATGCGCCCTAATACATGCACTTGTCTCATCGTCATACTGTTTTACTCTTCAGGGGGGGGGGGTCTTGTGTAGTGACAAGTTAACCAGATTGTATGTCCGTGTCCTTTGTGGACCAGAAGCCGTAATACACCAGAGCACCATACTTGATTGAGTTTATTATCTTGCTCTTTGTAACACTGGATTATTTTACTCTGTGTAACACAACATGGTTTTACTCATCAAATGGAGACATTCCTTTGTTAAACCTAGTATATCTGGCAGGGGGAGTGCAGACTTTCCTGGGAGTTGCACTGGTAGTACGTCACCATAACAATCTTTGGTGATGCACCACACCATAGAAGTACAGTACCTACACTTTATATTCACCTGTAAAACTTTACTATCCTTTGGTCAATGGTCCAGTTACTCCAGTGTTACTGCAGGGGGAAACCACTAACCGGAGTGCCTGGAAAAATCCTACTGTATCTGGTAGTCAAACTGGAACTACTCTGCACAGACAATTTAGATATTAAATTCAGAAGACAATTGTCAAACCATTTCTCTGGGGAAAAAGTGCTGGCTGTTCTGATGACAAAGGTTCATTTCACTATCACAACAGGCCATTTCTGAGTTACGCTCGAATGCCCCACAGACAATGTTTTTATAACTTGCCATTGTTCTTGACAACTAGAGCATAATTTGGAAATGATCTATTGTTGTTTACATCTACAGTAGGATGAATATTTGAAAGTTGCACATAAACTGCTGATGCAACTGCCCATCTAAAAATACAAATGACAGTACATACTATGTTAACTGATAAACAATGAGCTAACCGGAAGTTAGCAAACTTTTTGTATGTCAATAATATTGAAGTTTAGAAATTAAAATATTAACTAATGATTGATATTAGATAATTAATGACAAATGCATAACACGATAATTACACTGTTTATGACAATAGTATACTTGATTTTACAAAATATATGTCTTTCTGCAAATATAAACTACAAAACTTCACTCGATTTGCATTCATCATTGTTTTGTTCAAAATTCAAAAATTATAATCATGTTCACAAAATTAAAAGTTTTTCAAAAATTCCTCTGCACATATACGTGCTCTTGAGTTCACTGCTAATTTCATTTCGCTTATTTCCTTGTCGATGTCCTCCATGAATTGAATAACAAAGTCGACTAGCTTGTGTTTGTACATTTGCTCCGTGTGGAAGTTGGTTATAAGAAAGCTGATGTCGTACCCTTCGACTGGCTTCCTTCGCAAAATGAAAAAGTGCTCCGCACGTTGCATCATGAATCGCATGAATTTCTTGCATAAAATCTTCTCAATTTCGTCAGCTTGCTTTACACCAATGCTCACACGAATTGAGTTAATAGAACCCTCTATTAAGACTTTTTCTTTCTCGTTTCGACTCACAACCAAAGGTGTCAACAACAACTCTTTACTGCTCCGAACTTCGACTTCGGGTTTGTTGTGTCTCTCCACGACTTGGGAGTTGAAACTTTCCAGACACATGGCGGCCGTTAAGGTCGACCTAACAGCGTTTAGGTATGGTTTTAATGTTGCTGCCATAAGGAAGAGAATATTTTGTCTATACTTTGGAGATCTCTTGCTTCTCTTCCGGAATGGTGCACCTCCCTTGAATTAGATTGCGTGCTCTTAATTTTTGCGTACATCCGCAGTATAAATTTGGTAATACCACCATTTTAAGTTTGACAAAAAAAAATATTTTTGAACAATTTCAAAAGGGAATTTAGATTTAGTCTTGATTATTGTTTTGAAAATAACTTATTCACTATGAATTTTACTATTTTTGCTTAATTTTCCATGTTATATTTTAAGTTTGTTTTATTAATTTATCTGTTCAATTTTTTAACATTTTTTTCAACGCAGGCTCAACGTTTGAATTGAGGAACACGAACAACAACCAAATGAACACGCAACATCATGAAAGCAGCACGTAAATGCCTCAAAATGCACGCTTACCCTTTTATGGCTTTTTTAATTTCATTTCGAATTTTAAAGGTGAAATTAACAAAATTAAGTGAGCCAGGATGTACAACTAAAGATAAATTAATCAGCATGTGTGTGTGTGCACAATTACAAACTCTTCAAAAATCAAAATTCACAAAATGGCAAGAAATTTTGTTGGTAAAAACGAGTATCCCGATAATATTCCGACCATTTCCGACTGTTGAAGAACAACTCGAAGTGCCTCGAACCCAGTTCCCCACGATCTTTGATCATCTACAAATGTGTGCTATGAAAAGTTTTTGTTGTAAAAAATTGCCATTTTTGAGTGTTTTCGACCTAAAATACGTACAATAGTCACCCTCAAGCCTTTATTGGTTTAGTCAATGTACGGGAAAGGCGAAATCAACCTTCTGTGGCGTCGAAGACAACACAAAAAATGGCGATAAGGTTTGTGGATGCAACCTACTTGGCATTGTCACAGATCAGCTTTCTTGTGACAGATCTATCCAAGAAGAATTACAAATCAAGCATGGCACAAATACAAAACGTAAGTTTAAGAACAGTGGGTACTTTAAACAAATTATATGGGGAACGAGGAGGACGAAGAAGGACTAGGAACTAGGTCATAATGATTGTTTTCTAAACTGGAGTACTGGACATACCCAAGATTAAAACTATTGAATAGTAAATGCATCAAAATTGCATGCCTGATATCTCGGTTGTGTGATACAAAGTTTCCACAGTGGTAGGTGTGGGGCTATACTTATATTTGCTTGACTTTTTCATACAAGTTCACATGCAATGCATGCATCAAACTGGATAAATTTGTATACATGTACAATTGCATACAATACAGATTATTTTCTATGTGAACAAATGGAACCAATAAAATTTGCATATGGTCTTGTGAACAATGGGAAAATGTCCAACCAAAATGAAATTTGTTTGGAAACTTTCAAATTTGATTGTACATTTTTTCAATTTCATTTTGACTCTCGGTGTCCATAAGGTAAATCAAGTAATACTTTGTGCTGAACATATTACAGTACTGTTAGAGTTTAAAATATTTAACAATTTTGTATTCATATCTGATGATTAGACATAACTCATTCTTTCTTCAGGACAAAATGTCCAACCAGTCGGTGCGAAAGTGATTTTCAATCATTTTTTCGGGCTCTGGGCTATGGCAAGCCTCAAATTAGAGAGATTAATTAATTTTTTGCTATAAACTTTGTAGTTAGTTGAACAGCATGGTGCAGAAGCCGAACGGCATTATCTGCGCTCGTTATTCTCCTCAATTGATTTTTCCGCTGAAAGTAAGGGAACTGGAAAAGACTTTCATCAGGTAAGTACTGTAAAATGTTGTTGTATGCTTGTCTTTAATTATACTTGGCAGCTTTATACATTCTAAACTTTTCTTTCTAGAGGTCCAGTATTAGGTATATGCATTAATTACACGGCAAAATACGCCGAGCCTGCTGCTCAACAGGATTGAACAATGTGGGCAGCAAAGCGTTGTTCAATCCTGTTTTCATCAATATTGCTTCAACCTGAGCGTTTTTTTTGCCGTGTAGATGAGTGTTATTACTGACCAGTGGAAAGCTGAGTATTCAGAAAAAAACCTGTGGTGTTTGGCAGATTGGTAGAGGCCTTTTTGCGAAAGCCAAAATCCACCATTTTTGGGGTACTGTCTGCCCCTGATACTACTTACCATTATACAAACAATTATAATACTAACAAGTTGCATTTTGTGGTGCAGAGACTCTCAAATGTGGACAGTGCCCCAAAAATAGCGGGAAAAAATTGGCTGTGAGAAATGCTAATTAGCTGCACTCCTGTCAGATGTGACTGAGGTGAAACTATAATTGGAAAATTGCATATTGCTGATTTTCCCTGAAGGAGTTCAAATCTCTTAAAACCAATTACCTTGTGTTAATTTAACTATTAAAGTTCAACATTCACTTCTTAATATTTTTTGTGTGTGTTTTGGTGTTATGTACTCAGGTGAATATAATGTTTTTGATGTTACTCTGAGTGAAAAGTTAGCCTGGCCACGGTGGGAATTGAACCCGCGATCTTTGGGATACTAGTTCAGGCTAACTTTTCAGCCTGCCCAGTGAGGATATACACTCAGAGTAACATCAAAAACATTATTCTCCTCTTAAATTAACCAACTAAAATTGTCTGTATGAGTGTGTTAATGTGCAATATGTCCTACTGTACAAATAATACATGTCTATGAGTTAAACAGTGTTAAACCCATAAAACTATATTTATACAAGTGTTAAAGAGTGTTAATTAACCACATAAAACCATATTTGTCCAGGTGCAATTGCTGAGTCAGGAATGTCAGACATTAATATGCAAAACAAATTTTATTTCAATTGTGTGTTATGCAATTGAGAATCAGGAACAACATCAAAAGGTTTGGGTTTATATTTTATATTATAATATAGCATTTGTAAATTCTGAACGCTGATTGGCTAAGAGCCGTGTTGATATAACTCCATGTCAACACGGGAAATTTTCCGCCGCTTGTAAACACGGAAATTTTTCTTATTCTTCGGGCTTTTGACATTGCTATATTATAAAACAAATATAAAACATTTTCCCGTATTGATATATCGTTATATCAACACTCGTGGAAGTTGGGAAAACTCGAAATTGTGTGAAAACACTCCGCCCTTCGGGCGTCGTGTTTCCACACAATTTCTCGTTTTCCCAATTTCCACTCGTGTTGATATAACTGTATATCAACACGGAAAATGTTTTATATTTGTTAATTGTTTCTAGTTTATCTTTTCATACATTTTTATGATTTTTTATACTTCAGTTTACTATAGTTAATCATGATTTTTTTTTAGTCATTGAAACCATCCAGCCATCTTTTACCTCAAATAAGCAAAGTTTTAAAGTTCAGTCGTGTTCAAGAGGTAAAGAATTGTCCTGAATTGTTGCCATATTTGCAAAAGAGATATCTATATCAAATCATATTACTATATAATATAAACACAAGTGAATATACAAAATATCTTTCTGCTCTTAAGCACATATCCATAAGATCAACTCTGTTGTTGTATCTCCTCCTGCAACATGTAGACATTTGTTCCTTCCAAAAAAAGTCCAGAAAGTTACAAAATTAGTATATATATGCAGATGTTCTTGCAAAACAGTCCATTTCTAAAATGCAGTAGAAAGTCTATCTCTACTTCTATTTTTTTGTATACAGTTCTAAAAAGGTAGAAATATAGTATTATTTAACAATTGCAGGTTGTATTTGGACTCGGATTAATGAAATCATCAAATGAAGAACTTAGAAATTTTGGTAGGTCCCTATATAAAATGATGTTTTTGGAATTAAAGTAGACTTTATATTGCGTGCATAGTTTATCTGTAAATGCTGATGGTTGAATAAAGGTTCAGTATTCCTTGCAATCATACTATTGGCTGGTTATGCACGTACGCAGTGCGTACCTATTTTTATGAACTTTTAATTTTTTTAGCTGGAATGTTTGTAAAGCAAAAACTACCTGACCTTCTACGGTCTTACATTGATTCAGGTATGTTTAGGGTGATATATATACACTGATGAACAAGATATGTTGGAACCTCAACTGTTTGTAAATTTTGCAACATATCTGAACACGCGCAAAGTTCTCGCGGACACGCACGTAAAGTTTGAAGGTGCATGCGCGCGCTTCTTATTTCGTCAAACGAGAAGAACGATTGCATGAGAGTTGATGAGATTTGGCTGGATCTTTTCGTGTGCATAGCGAAAACTCTCATCAACTCTTTTCGAAATTTGAGCCAACTCATTATAGTTGATGCGAGTGCATGGCAAGATAAGGTTATAAGACAATTTCTTGTTTTCCCAATTTCCACTCGTGTTGATATAACTGCATATCAACACGGAAAATGTTTTATATTTGTTAAGTATAATAGACATTTACCCTTATGAGTGAAATTTTGATCTAGATATGCCTGGACAAAAATTTCGTCACAGCTTGAAAGAGCATCACAAAATTAGTAATATTCCGAAGTTTCGTTGCGAAATGTTGTAAAATTCGGAGAATATAGCCCTTGCGAAGTTTGCCGTTTTTCAGTCATTTTGCATTACAAACGGGAAGTTGATAATCAGATGATCAAACTGATTACCAATTTCCCATTTGTAATACAAAATGATTGAAAAACGGCAAACTTCGCAAGGCTATATTATCCGCATTTTACAACATTTCGCAACGAAACTTCGTAATATTACTAATTTTGTGATGCTCTTTCAAGCTGTGATGAAATTTTTGTCCAGACTTGTCTAGATTAAAATTTCACTGAAAAGGGGAAGGTCTATTGCAAACGAAAAGTTGTCCAAGCTGTTGAACTACGAGATATTCTCGCCAACATTTCAATTGGTTTATTCGGCATTGGAACTTTCGTATACGCCCAGTGACTTATTTCAATACATCAAAATCACCAACGGCACCTACCTCCAAACTCGGATACTCTGCCGTTAACAATACATCAAAATCATTCCGTCTTCCGTCACGGCGGGTTCATGGAAACAGCCCCTGAGTCGTGTATACGAATTTGACTTCAGATGTTGGAGGAGTTCCCGAAGGTGGTCTTACAGATGTCGCTATAGAAGTTCTTCATCTCCTGCTTACCTACCTGTTGTATACGCCACAGAAAGATGTCGGCATTGGTGAGCACCAAAAACAAGCTTTCTTGGATACGCTGAGGAAAGGTGAGCGGTATAATAATCTGAGTATCTGAGTAGTCAACTCGCTACTAGGGTGAGGCGTTTAATTGATGAACTGGGGGGGGGGGGGACGATTCAACCGATGTTGTTCTAGGCAAAAAACGGGGGAGGGGGAATTCGGAAAAAAACTGTTTGAAACTTGGTAATATTGAAACAAATTGGCACCTTGGCAAAATCACGGCGCTAGTTCAATGTTTTCTGACGAAACTTTCAAACGGCATGGTAAAAACATGAGAAAATAGCACACCTCACGATGGCTTACCGCTTACATTAAGGCGTGCTATACGATTTATATACTAAAGTTTTTAAAACTAAATTTTGACATAACTTATTAAAAAATGTTTTCGTTTTTTTCCCAAACGGTTTTCGGTTATTCCCCTGAAGCGCCTCTCCCTACTAGCTACCAATCCCCGTTGACTCATTGGGTAGAGCGGCGATCTAAAAATCCGAAGTTGCGAGTTCATGTCTCGCTCGAGACAACGAATTGTTCGCTTTCTGCCGTGTCAGAAAAAACGTTTAGTTTTTCGTATCTCTGGCAATTCATCCCTAAGATTACATTTTCGATACCCACTGGTAATAAGCTGTGTAAGAATCTGGTACATAGCTGTTGCATTTTTTCCCGGGATACTTTTCACATATTCTATTTCTATAACTATGTCGTCTTGCGTTTGCACAAGACGGGTAAACGGATAGTGTACGTTTTAGAGAATAGTGTACAAACCGAGCCACTGATGAGCTGTTTCCATTTGTTTTTCAAGATTTTCCGAGTGAGCGGGTACCCGTAGTCTTGGCTCCATTGCTTTATCAAGGAGTTCACGATATGCCTCTGAGTCGGTGGGTGAATAAAACATTTCTATTTACTTATATGCAAATTTTGCAATGCCAAGCGATGGAAATTTTAGAGCCTTCAATTGTAATGGCTATACAGTACGAGAATATTTAGTGGCCACTATTATTATCTAAAATATAAGGTCAGTCTGTTTAAACCCGTGCGAGTTGTTTGGATATTAAGAGTATTATTAGTTTCTATTTATTGAAGCGATGTATATGTGTGAATATAGCGAGTGTGAGCTGACTTTGTAGTGATAGTGTGTTTTATGCTGACTTTGTAGTGATACTGTGTTTTAGCAGACGAAATTTGTATTAGTGTAGGCTGTGTTTAAGTATCTTAGGAGTAAGTATGGTTCACGGTTTATCATTTATATATAGTTCATATATTTTGACAATAAGTACCGTTATTCAGTAGTATTCACAATGTAAACAAACAGAAGTGTCTGTATGGTTTTGACACTGTAGCATCTCTGCTCGAATTACTTTTATTAGTTTATTTATCTTATTTTGAACATGTCAGAAGTTAATGGCCGTATTCTAAAAGCTCACTCACACACAATGAGTGGAAGTTCAATCTGGGCTTCTCTCGAGTGTCATTGCTGTTTTTTAATAGCTGGAGGGTTAGTGTCATACCTTACTATGTGACTACTCACCCTCGAGCTATTCAAAAACAGCATTGACACTCAAGAGAAGCTCAGATTGAACCTCCACTCATTGAGTGTGAGTGAGCTTTTACAGTAGAATACAGGCGTAAGTCCTGGTCAAAATCGTCAAATGAGAGTGACAGTTGATGACAGTTGTAACTATAGCTCGCGTTTAACCGCCAACTCTTTCACATTTGTTTTTACCAGGTTTAATGTGGAAAGTTCTCCAGTCCCTAAGTTAATGGTAAGCAAAATTTTAGAAGGTTTTTGCCTCCGTATAGCGCCCTCTCTGAACGTAGTTTTACACATGGACAAAGCACGCAAATATCTGTAAAAGGCCCGTTTACAATTTGCTGCCGTTTTAGGCGCAATTTTCTTCTTTTGATGTATGTGAACGAGTGGATGAGTTATGAATGTTTAGATGAGGATGCATGTACTCAGAACATTCATAATTCATCTGCTCGTTCACATCCATCAGGAGAAGAAAATCGGGTTATCGTTCCATGTTTCGCGCACCAATATAGGATAGGGTTATAGAGGTTAAGGTTAGGGTTATAGAGGTTAAGGTTAGGTTTAGGGTGTGTATATATGTATAAGGAGGTATCCAGTTGGCTTTGCAGAACACTATAATATCCATTACATAACGTTTACCATATTGGTGCGCGAAACATGGAACAATTACAGAAAGTCGCACTGGAAATCGCAACGGCGTTATGTAAACGGGCGTTAGGTATCCCAATCTGGTGGTCATTCTGGCCCAACATATTTTTTATTCATCCCCCCAAAATATTTTTCAATTGGGCGTAATCTTTAACGCTGCGTCAGGAGGATAGGCCTGAGATTATGGATGACTTTATTCTTGCATGTTTTTAAGATGGAGGATGATTTGAGTAAACTGATGCATGAAATTGGTTATTCGTGTTGTGCAAGGTTTGTAAATTTCCTTTTCAAAATGATTGTATCAAGGTAATATTTTACAGCCCTTTTCGTGCTTGGACAACAGTAACTACAAGACTGTTAACAAATGTATCTGGTATCATATATTGTTTAGTGTGCAAGAGTGTAAAGAGACTTTGGGACAGTCTAGCAAGGCTAATATTACTCCAATGTGTATTGCCAAAGTTCTAGGTATGGCCTCAGTCTTTGCTTCATCGTTTAACATCCCCTAGAGCACCAGCTTACATTAATTTGTTTTCTTTGTAGGAATGATGGCCAGGACAGTTTCCGGCCTTGGAGAGTCTATGCCACTACAGGTACAGTAACGAGGTTTGACCGCCTGTCAAGCAGACTAGAGAGGTTCAGATTTGTCCTCCACTACTGTACCTCTCACTGACTAAGTACGCATCTGATTGGTTAATCGGGAAGATTCCGCGCATCTGATTGGTTAATCGGGAAGATTCCGCGCATCTGATTGGTTAATGGTTGTGGTAGCGGTCTTGGAAGTCAAATCTGAATCTCTCTGGTATATGGAATAAAAGAAGTCGAGGAAAATTTATCAAGAAAAAAATTGTTCGTCTATCGCGTGGTGCTTCGGTGTCACAATTGTCAGAGCAAACGGCTTTCATCTCTAAAATTGTGGGTTCGATCCTCACGTCGGACTATTGACACTTATGCGAAAAGAGTTTACCGGTCAACGGTCTACCGAAGGTCGTGAGTTTTCTCCGGGTACTCCACTTTCCTATCACAAGGAAAGTTGACAGGGTGGGTTGGGATTATCCCCCTAACTGACCCTTCCACCGTAGCTGTACTCCGTGATCAGACATGAATCATAAGGTGGCTGCCTGAGGTGCCCTTAGTAAGCCTTCGACTCAATCAAGTTGAGCTGCGTCCTTTGCAATTCAGCTTAGCTCTCAGCTACAAGTAGGGATGATTATAACCTGAGTATCAGGCTCTTATGTTTTCATTCGCCAGGATTAATTGGCGGCGGCGAATGAAGGAGGGCCCGATACAATTCTTTAGAGCCTGATACTCAGGTTAGGATGATTAACACACCTCCACTTACTTACTTAACAATGATAAACTTTAGGCCAGATAATAAAAGTATTATAATGTGTACTTATTTTAGACGTCCGTCAACATTGTTACTCCGATTGAACTGGGGAAACCAGAAGAACCCTCGACAGGACCAAATACTTGGAATGTTGAAATGTTTGTTACAACTGTAAAGGAAATGGTAGGTATTGAAGATCGAGACGACGTCACTCCGGCGAATATGATTTTTTCATATCAACATTATGACGTCACAATATGTCAAAACTCCACAAATGTTATAGAGCGTTTACACATGACCTCACAGCCGCCATGTTGGTGTTCCAATTCAAAAGAATTTTAATTCAGACTCTTTTGTCTGGAACACCAACATGGCCGCCATGGCAAACGCTTTATTGAGTCTGTATGACGATTTCACAGTTGGTTGTTAAGCAATTGGAAACCATGAATCTTTTAAATAAATAATACTCATTACTATATTACTTCATATATTAGGTTATTGTAGTACATATTAGGTGAATCTAAAACCCAGGTGTCTTTTCGTTTGTTTAGATACCCGAGTTAAACTGGACAGAAGTCATATCGTGTTTGGATCATCCTGGATTTTTAATCAGCACAGTGGAAGCATTAAGACTTATTGTGACTGCCTGTCATAAAGGATTACAAGATATATTTCCCATAGAGATTCTATATCACGCTTGGTCGAATACAGAAGGCCAGGTGGGCGGAGTATATAGCATAAAGGCGTTTTCCGCGCGGAGCGAAATTTCTCTTTGTCTTTTCTAATTAATTCCACCCGAGAAATCACAAGACAAAGAGAAATTCCGCTCCGCGCGGAAAATTTCGCCTTGTGGAAAACGGCAGTATATCTCCTAATTGGAATTTAAAACATTGAACTGAAATAACTTTTTATCCACTGTTGTTTTGAGCAAATGTTTGAAGTTTGTTTGATCTTCAAGTAGTTACGAGCAGAAGAAGACAAGAGAAAATGACCTTGTACACTGGAAATCTAATTTCATTCTTTAAAATGGTTTATTTATTGTTTGTCAGTTATCATGGATCCAACAAGCTCTCATCAACCCCGACGTCTTTTGTTTTGCCGACTATCCATGTCATACTGTCATCATTGATGTACTCAAGTCACCTCCCGAAGACAATAATCGGGAAATATTAACATGGTATGCACCTGCACATCACATATTGCAAGCAGTTCCGCTTATTCTAGAATATCATCACAGTAGTTTTTTCCAAATCGTTCAAACTCAATCTTCTCCCGAAAAAGCGGCAATAGACAAAATTACTTGTATTAATATACAAGTAATTTTGTCTACTGCCGTTTTTTTTAAGAATATACAGCAATCCAGTACCTTCTTCCTTTCACAATTAATTATTCACACTTGCCACAATTTCTTCAAAGTGTATTGTGAAAAATATAATTACAGAGGAAGAGTGAAGATGACTCAACTGAAGATTGAGTTCTGACTACCGTATACTGGCAGTAGAAAGCGCTTGTATTAATCTCTGCATTCTAACTCTGTAGGCAATCCTTGAGTCTTGTGGAGACTTTACTTCGACTGGCTGAATGTGGTCATTACGAGACAGTGAAAGCTTTGTTTGATTTCCCAATTAAAAATTGTCCTGACGTTCTTGTCTTGGCCCTGCTACAAACTAACGTAAGTCCATTTTATTTATAAAGAAACTGTGCGGTTAACCGAAAAATTCGGTTCTTCCGCTACTTTTTTTAGCACCGAAAATTATACACAAAAGAACCGGTAGTTTCGGTTTCAATTTCCTGTTTAACTCCCACCAAACGCCCACTTGATTGCAGGTTGAAATGTTTGGAAAATAACAAGATTGTGCTCTTTGTACACAATAATCACACTGTACTAAGTGCTCAAATAGTTGATATTTTAGTTGTATTAGTTATGGTTGTGCACTTGCTTTAAATTTTTTTAAAGAGAAATGTTTCATGTTCATTAATACATAAATGAGTTCATACATTTGTACTGAAATATATTGAAAATAATTACTGTATTGAAAATAACCGAACCGAGATTTTTCTGTTCCATGCAAAAAACCCGGAACCGGAACTGAGATAAAATTTTTGGAACCGCACAGCTCTGGTTTACATAGGTATTTATCAGGGCTCGAAGTAGAGAAAAAATATGGCCTGCCAGTCAAAAATGTTTTGGGCAGGTGGGTTTGGAAATAAATTTTAGCCTGACATTTTATTCACTGAACTGCTAAAATGGCGATGTCTCATATGAGTCACATTGTAAAAATCAATGTTTTCATGATATGCATTTTTATTGTTTTTAAACTTGTCTATTTTAAGTACTACAGTAAACTTGGATTTGTGTATTTAGTCAACCAAATGATCTAGTCTATATGAGTTGTGGAAAGAAAATGAAATGAATTATATCTATAGAATTTCACCTGCCATTTTTTTTTTACTTTGGCAGTTCAAATTTGTTTTTGCCTGCCATTTCTAAAATATCACCTGCTTTTTGCCATTGGCAGCCCGCTATTTCGAGCCCTGGTATTTATTTGATCACACAATATCGAATTATCGATATTTATGTTTCTTCTTGTATATAATTTTTGAGTCTCGCTTCATATCATTTGTTTCACTAGCCTACGTGGCAGACATTGAAGTACGACCTGGCTTCTATATTAATCCCAATCTTCCTCGCTAATCATCCAAATTCACTGTGTGTATTACATCATGTTTGGCATGGCCAGGTAAGAGTTGGTATGTAAGATAAGGTAAAGGAGCCGTGGGAGTGGCATGTATGATGATGATACAATATTTGATATAATACTTATCTGAAATAACACTCCAGTTATTCTTTACTTCCAGGGTCAGTCGTCACCGTCCATTCGACATCTTGTCATCCAAGCTATGGCTGACTGGTATATGAACGGCGATGCGGGCGATCTATCTCGAATATTGGATGTCGCTCAAGATTTGAAGGTTATGCTCTAGAAAATTGATATTTAGTAAAGTTGTCTTAAATCCATACCAGTAGCTTCCCACAAGCTGTCAGTGAAATATTATTAGTTGAAATCTGAATGACCTTTTATACATGAACAAATACTAGATATTAAATTTAAGAATATACACATATATCTGAAAGAAAGGAATAAGGTTGAAAGTATATAATCAACAGGATAAGAATTCCATATTAAGACCGACATCATCACTGTTCATCATCACCTATCATCCCATAGTTTTTCAGATACAGATATTTCACAGCACACTCCCTATCAGGGTTTTTCAGTGACTGGTTACATTGTGAATAGATAGATAGATAGAACCGGACTGACGTGAAGCAGATCGAGGTAGACTGTGAGCTTACAAATGACGCTTTAAGCAGCCGCTATTAGTCTATACCTCATTAATGATCTGACCCCTGACCTATATTTTCTCGTAGGTCCATGATACATTGTCTATATATATTGAGGTGTTGATTCACACCAATTTGGTCTTCTTTACATCCACAAAACATTTACGCCTCTTCCGGTGCTAATAAACGCTTGTTGGTGTAAGTGGTGGTGTTGGAAAAGTAAATTTACGTCGATTTAGTGATCCTCTCAGATTGTGTTTGACCAACGTCCTAACTTTGTTAAAACATTTAGGCTCTTTCCATATTATTGAATGGCTCAACCTTCTCGTTCGTCATCGACCTTGCTGCGTTGGCGTCACGACGCGAGTACCTGAAACTGGACAAATGGCTGAACGATAAACTTCGCGAACATCAGGAAGAATTTGCTGTGGCTGTTGTTGACTTCCTGAAACGTCGCTGTCCACATTTGGTTGGCATTATTCCAGAACAAGAGTTGCCAAAGAGCGCACAGCTACCGCCCGAGACCGTTAATACAATGCTCTCATGTTTACAAGCTTATTCAGGGTGAGTGAAGTGTTACAATAGATATCCCTGCACAAATTGAAAGGAGCCAGGTAGCTACACACGCCGCTTATTTTATTTTACCCCTCAGTGGGAGACCTACAGTAGAAGTTTTAACTTTTGGATTTTTTTCTCAGTCATGTTTCGCTTGAGCTCGGTGAAGAAATCAAGCAGATGATATCACGACATGGTCCAATACTCAAATCAAGACAACCATCAGTCAGTGTTTCGATGCCATCCTTGTCCAGACAAACCAGCCGCGATCCTGGCTTGCCTGGACAGGTAATATAAGTTACGAATATTTACTCGTGGCAACCCGTTCAACTCTTTGTATAACAGGACTAAGAACTTTACGCCTGTATTCACTCAAAGAGTAGAGGTTCAATCTGAGCTTCCCTTGAGTTTCAGTGCTGTTTTTGAATAACTGGAGGGTTAGTGTCGTACCTTTCTATGTGACTACTCACCCGCTGCAGCTATTCAAAAACAGCACTGACACTCAAGGGAAGCTCAGATTGAACTTCCACTCATTGAGTGTGAGTGAGCTTTTAGAATACAGGCGTTCGTCACTTGCTTTGGTGGAAATTGAAACCAAGTGTGGCAATCATACATGCCAAATCGCTTGCAAATGCTCTCTAAAACGCATGACTAATGCACGTTTCTGTTTATATTTTATATTCAAGATGGATTCGTTAGCCGGCTTAAATTTATCATCGGGTACCATTCCCCCAACGCCAACCACGCCATCTCAACTTCCTACTTTCCCGCCACATCCGTTGTCAACTGGTGGGGGACTGGGCGCGCTCGGTTTGGGCCCTGCTATTGGTCAGCCACCATCAAAACCAATATCCCAAATTGGTGCAGGTATGACATTTCATTTACACGTGCGTGTAGGAAAAGTTAGGCAGGAAATTTGTTAAGTTGAAGATTTGCAACTTAAAAATCTGAAGGATTAGCTGAAAAATCTAAAAGCCCATTTCCACTCAGGAAAATTTTCCGCTGAAAGAAAATTTTGTAAAATGTGATTGGCCGATAAACATTTTTTGTCGGAAAATTTTGAAGTTGAAAATTTTCAACTTTTAACAATGATATTTTCGGCAAATGTTCTGTCCGTGGACAGAAATTTGTAAAATGTGATTGGAAAAATTTGTATGCCAACTTTCCAGTTACTTTTAAACACTGGGGAATTCCTTGCCATTTTCTTGTCAGAAAATTTCTTGGCAGCGAAAGAAACACAAAAACTAAACAGTCCAAAAAAACTTTCATCACTTGCCAGTGCATACCTACCCTGGATTCCAGAGCCTTCGACAGTAAATAATAAATTGAAATGTCGCGAAGGCTCTGGTTCAACGGGGCGATTCTTTGATTAAGCCGCGCCAATCACAAAACAGAATTAGTGGTTTTAGTACAGATTCTGTACTAAAACCACTAATTCTGTTTTGTGATTGGCGCGGCTTAATCAAAGAATCGCCCCGTTGAACCAGAGCCTTCGCGACATTTCAATTTATTATTTACTGTCGAAGGCTCTGGAATCCAGGGTAGTGCATACCATACTGTCCATACAAAGGAATTAGTAGGTCAATAATTGAATTTGTAAATTAATTAAAACTAACATGGCCTACAATTTTTGAAAATAACTATAGGCCAGGAAAAAAAATTCGCACGCTAACCTCTAGGTTGCGCTCCCAAGGAGAATATTATTCAACAGCCATTTTGTAATCCCAGAACATTTTTACCATTTAGGTCTAACACCTTCGGGCTTAACCAACACAAGTGGCAATCCTCTGCTTCAACAGTTACAAGTAGGATTTTCAAACGAAAACTTCCACTCGCTTGGTGTGAGTAGTTCAGCCGCGAACTTTACCTCCACCAAACCACTTGGATCATTGTCTGCATTTCCACCCCAACCCGCACCACCTGTACAGACACAACAACTGGCAGGCAATCCAAGGCAACAGGCTGAAAAGCTCCGTCAAAGTAAGTCTGGGGATATTTTTCGCTACGATAGTAATGTAGGGTGTTTGTAGACGGTGATTTAGAAAGACTGGCATCACTCTGATATAGCGATATCGCTTGAGGGATGATGCCATAAAAAGCGATAAAACTGATATCGCCTCATCCCGATTGTGATAACCTGTTTATTATATATTTTGTACCTTTATCAGGGTCAGAATTTATTAGAATATTAATCATTGCCCTAATGCAAAAATTATTAATAGCGCGACAAAAAGACTCGCACATTTCGTCTCCACGTGAAACCTCTGAGGAGGGGAGAGTTTCGGGGATGCCTCTGCGAAGGAGAAAGGTTCCGAATTCATCCTGTTCCGTTTGAACAAAAGCAAAACAAACCTTCAATGGCAGCGTTGTCAAGCCTCGACAACAAACGATATCAGTGACAAAAAACGATATCAATGATGAGTGATATCAGTGTCATTATGTCACCCTGTTATCGCCTGATAACGGCATAAGAATTCAAGTTTCAAAAGACGGCGTTTCAAGTTTGAAACAAAAACGGCTGTTGCCATATGTGTAACGGATTCACTTCCGGTTGCCATCCGTGTTGTCAGAAACGCGACTTGATGTTAAATACGTTGGATATCTCGCTCGATACATTGGTTTTTATAGATGGAAATTTTGAGAAAAAGTGTGTACATGTTTTAACAAAACACCGCTTGATATGAATGAAAAAACTACGTGAAAAATACAAGGAGAATTCGGTTACTACGAACTTAACTTCCCGACGAAAGGCCTTGAGACGTCGAAGTTCTCCTTGTATTTTTCGTGTAGTTGCATCCATTTATCAACCGAGTTTTATTCTATCATTGACACTACCTACACTGGCACAGACGATTATCGTACATGTTTTAAACCTGACTAGGAACAGTTACGAGAGATAAGTAAATTATCTTTCTTTTGTCTTCCTAGACACAGCTGGCAGTGATATTACAGCAGCATTACCCGGAGTGAACCAGTCATTCCCAGGTGATGTCGAAGCTGAAGCCAACTCATATTTCCAGAAAATTTACAACCAACCTCCTAATCCAACAATGACCATTGATGAAGTCTTAGAAATGCTGAAGAAATTTAAGGATTCTTCATCGAAAAAGGAAAAGGTGAACTTTGTATTTCGTGTACCAAGCTTGATTTATTCCCTACATTTTATTCCCAAGACTTTGATGTCTGATGTGTGAGACTAAATATGTACCAGTTTAACGCAATCTTTATATCCTGTAGGATGTATTTCTATGCATGCTTCGCAATCTGTTTGAAGAATATGGTCATTTTCATAATTATCCCAACAGAGAATTGCATACAACAGCTTGCTTATTTGGTGGCATTATTGATCAAGGACTTGTAACGTGAGTATAGTGAAGTCCGAAATATCACATACTCGAACCGCCCTGACCGCGTAGCTCAGTGGGCAGAGCATTGGGCTGGTATTCCAAAGGTCTGGTATTCCGTGGCCAGGCATATTTTTCAAGCTTGCCCGGTGTGGATATACACTCAGAGTAACATCACAAGCATCATATTCACCTTGAGTACATTACACCAACACAGAAAAATCGTGAGTATAGTATTATGGGGATTCGTACGGTTTGATCTGGTCTGAAATCACGCGTAATACAAACATCACACGTAATACATACATATACAAAATTTGCAAACTTCGCAAGGCTATATTTTCCGTATTTTACAACATTTCCTAACCAAATTTTGCAATTTTACTAATTTTAATAAGTTCTTTACGGGAATTTACTTTTTTTTTTGCCTGGATCAAAAATTAGTCTAACATGCAAGTTGTCTATTATTGCGGTGCGAAGGATATGCAACTATCTCAAAAATATCCGCAAGAAATGCAGTCATCGAGCTTAAGACTCAAAAGATGAATTACCGCTCAGTTTTTCTTGCTACAACCGTTTTGATAGGAGAAAAACGTCCACAAGTTGTTTGATTGCCCGTCATTTGGATGAAAAGTCACGTGATTGCAAATAAAGAATATAATAAAACATCAGCTCATACTGTATCTTGAGTTCGCAGAATAACTGTTAAATGTTAGTGCAAAGTTTCACACAGCACTATTGTGATGAAAGCAAAAATTAAAATGAGTGACTCATAAAGAACAATAGATATAGTGTAAACATCCGGGGGCTTCTCGTGATGATTTTCTTTTCTTTTTTTTTTATCAAATTTCAGTGTTTATTCAAATGTGTAAAGCTATTGCAATTCATCAATTCCTAGTGTTTTACTTTATTATTTAGGTATATGGCCTTGGGCATTGCTTTGCGATACGTCTTAGACGCACTTCGCAAACCATACCAGAGTAAGATGTATTTATTTGGAATCACAGCACTAGACCGCTTCAGAATGAGGTAATGTAGAAAATATGATGTTCTTTATTTCGATAAAGTTGTTTGGAAGCCACCTTGTCACTTTCGTTTTATGACTAACTCTAGGGGGAGAGCTCTTTAATCTTTATATCGTATTCAGTTAACCCGGTATTTGTTTTAGAATTGTGTGTTAAATTATTTTTTGAACTGTCTTTGCCAGTGTAGGTAGTGCCAATCAAATGAACAAGCTTTCGTTGGTTGGGATGCAACTCCCTGAAAATACACCAGGAGAATTTCATGTTGAATTGAAATTCTCCTTATATTTATCAGGTAGTTGCAACGAAAGCTTGTCATGTGTTTTATTTTGCTTGTTTTTTCCGTAATAGGTTAAAAGATTATCAACATTACTGTCGACATTTGGCGTCCATACCTCACTTTAATGAATTCCCTCCACATCTTATTGAGTTCATTGAATATGGAAAACAGTCAGTACAACCTCCACTGAGCAGCAGGAGTTTACAGGTACGACCTTTGGGTTCCGATTATATACGACATGATTGTATAAGAAACTCTCATATAAGAAACTTTCACAGTGGTTAGAGCCAGGGCCGTAGCTAGAAATTTGGGGGGGGGTATATGCATAAACTGTACTCGTGTTTACATACCGTAAAAACAATCTTCGTTCTAGCTACGGCCCTGGTTAGAGCATTCATCTCTGTGATTGGGCTTCGATTCTTGCAAGATACAATTGTCTGGTTATAATGTTGAACTGTCTGAGCCAGTGTAGGAGCTGTAAAAGCTGTAACTGTCGGAGCCAAAAATATAAAATATTTTTCTTTATCTGAAAAATATTTTTTCAGTTGTTCTGGGTAGGTTCAGTTTCTCTGAGTGCTTCGGTTTCCTGCTCTGCACTGTAGTAACATTCGACCTTGGCCTCTAGGACAACACTTGACAAACTGACAAAGCCATCCAGTGTGAAGAAAGTTAGCTTATGAATAACCAGCCCCAGATATCGGAGTATAAATGTGATAGGAGTATCATTTATGTGATTTTCATTAATAGGATTCGTCTTCAACAAACTATTTCGGCAAAGCTACCTCCAGTGTCTCGGATGCTTTGCCACCATCGACAGGAACAGCTGTGACGACTACAGCACCATCAAGCGGAGCTGATACCGCGAAACAATTTTCACTTTCTACAGGAGGTCAGTGTTATACTTACGATTTTTATATAACAATATTCATACTTGAAATACTGTTGATTGAAATATTTAAAAACATTCTCCATGGTATTCTCTAGTGTCTTCCAATGGTTCAACGAGAAAAGAGGTATTAAGAAATCTATAATTATATCTCGTTTTAAATGTATTGGAAAAAGCGTTTTTAGTCCTCAATGATTATTTTATCGTCATTTTGTTTACACTATTCATCCAATTTTTAGCCTTCTATAGCAAACGCGAGTAATATTGATACTCTCCTTGGCGCGACAGAGAAATCCGAATTGGCTCAACCGTCAGAGTCCGTTCAAGATAAAGTTCACTTCATTTTCAATAATATTTCAACAAATAATCTTACCCAAAAGGTAACTATAAATTGTGAACAGCAAGGTTTCCACTGCATGTTATCGCCGGTACAGTGGTACAACTGCAGTTTAACAGACACCAGTGTGTTGTCCAGCCGGTAAATACAGTGGGCTCGTGAAGTACACTTTTGGTGGGAAATAACTTTAATTATTTCAAGGTTTATGGCATTTTGCCACCAAAACTTGCATTAGGCGAGCCCTGACTACTGTCAGCAACACACTGGTGTCCCCTAAACTGCAGTCCAGCCGCGGTATAGTTGTTAAGTCATGTCCTTTGCACCTCCTTAAGCTTGCTTTGGTTTAGTTTAGTTTAAATCCTTAAATGTTGTCTTACGTTTCAGGGTGAAGAGCTGAAAGAAGCGGTGAAGTCTGAATTCTTCCCATGGTTAGCACAGTATCTTGTCATGAAGAGAGTCAGCATCGAACCAAACTTTCACGATCTTTATATTAAGTTTATGGAGACACTCGAATGGAAAGAATTATTTCAAATGGTGCTTCAAGAAACCTATCGAAATATAAAGGTACATACTAACTTATGAACTGGATAGTGAGATCGGGACAGTATCATAAAATATATTTTGGTGGCTCATTGGTTGGTGAATGCACCTACCTGTGTGACCTATGCAAGAAGAAAGGTAGTGAATTTATGGGAGAATAGTTTAGAAGCAACAGCTAGAGTTATCTAGTAACAATAGTTAGAAGCTGATAATCTTTATAACTGGATTAAAATCTATATGTGTTTAATGTCCTTAGGTTTTGCTTCAGTCAGACAAGGTTCCTGCAAACTTCTCAGATAGATCACTGTTAAAAAACCTTGGACATTGGCTTGGACTTATGACTTTGGCTCAAAATAAGCCCGTATTGATGAGAGTAAGTTCCATGTATACATCTGCAGATGTTTAGCCAGGGACTACTGTAATACTATACTTAGAGATGACTCAACAGTGAACGTATACATGTAGACTCGTAGCTTGACTCTTCTGTCGGAGTAACGGGAATTATCAATAAAGTATTTGAATTTTTATTTCAGAATCTGGATGTAAAGTCACTCGTTATCGAAGCATACTTTAAAGGACAGCAGGCAAGACTATTGACATGATTTAATATTTTAAATATTTAAAATAAAGATATATTATAAATATATCTTTATTTTATATTATTTACTTCTAGGAAATGTTATATGTTGTACCGTTTGTTGCCAAAGTCATGGAAGGCTGTGCAAAAAGCAGAGTAAGTGTGATTAGTTATTAGAATGTAAGGGTTTGTAATCCAAGTGAGAATATATACATTTTAAGACCTAACCAGGAACGACTGCGAAAAATGCAGCACAAGGTCCTCTGGTAGTAATTGAACCTACGGCCCTGCGATTCCGGTGCAGCGCTCTAACCAACTGAGCTACAGAGGCCAGCTGTTGAGCTGTAACCGTAAGTTCATGTATATATAGGTAATCGGGTGTGCGGGTTGTGATCCATGAATGGTCAAAGGCTTATATAGCCGTAACGAATATTATTCTTCAAGAAAAGAAAATTTGAAGACGACTTGAGATTCTTTCTAACTCTGTAGATATTCAAGCCTCCAAACCCGTGGGTCATGGCTGTTATGGGCGTTTTAGTGGAATTACATCAAGTACCAGACCTCAAGGTGAGAGCTCTAACCCCTATTATGCGCGAAAATGAGAATATAGTCTGGAACCGGAACGACTAACTCATGAGCGCAGTGGAAGCTGTTACCAGTCTGCATTGGCTGTTGCTCACTTTTCATTTGTTTCAATTTCAGCTAAATCTTAAATTTGAAGTGGAAGTTCTGTGCCATACATTGAGCATTGACATGAAGGTACGATTTAGAGCCTTAGTGTGTCAGATGTAAATCCCAGTATTCCCAATATTCAAAACTTTGATGTGTTGAATACTACCTATTTACTCCCAATACATAGATTACTTCGTTATTTCATTAGTTTGTTTTTAAAATTGTTTCACACAGGAGGAAATCACGCCGACGACGTTGTTGAAAGATCCTGAGAAATTGAATCAAATAAAGCACCAGTTATCATCACCAGACAAAGATAGGCACGCAGGTCCATCAGTTCTGTCCCAGGCCCCTCCGACTACCCCGCCTCCTCCCCAGTACTCTTATCAAGAGATCAATGTCGCATCTTTGGCTGGATTGGCTGGCCTTATCAAGATTAACCCACAGGTAATTGAAGACGTACTCGCATATACTAAATCATGATATACCTTCTTATACGACCTCGGCATCTAAGGCAGGAGTATGTAAAGGCCTGTTTACACTTGCAATTTTTGCTGCGATTTCTAGTGCGATTTTTTCTGCTGACGTGATGGCGACATGAAATCGCCAGTGTAAACACCCTGCGATTTAACTGCAAGTCCAGTGCAACTTCACTGCGACAAGCTGCAAATATTTCGATCGTGATCAAAATTTATCGCAACTCGCTGCGATTTTTCAAAAGATGTGAACAAAATACGACTGTGCTAGCCCAGAGTTGGCCACCGAAAGTTTGCATGAGAGTTTTCTCACGTCAAACACCGCGTAGCGAAAACTCTCACTTGAACCAAGTTGATGAGAGTTGATGAGAATGCAATATGCACGACATCTCATCAACTCTCACGAAACTCTCGTGAACTATCATCATTGTTTGAGTGAGACATTACTTTTTGTGTTGGAACTGAACTTCAACAAGTATCCATTCTTGTTTCTTTTACAGATCGCGTTGTTCCAGCAACAGCCTCAACTACGTCAGTACGTACGACCAGCTATTGACAGAGCTGTACAAGAGTTGATCCATCCAGTTGTTGAGAGATCTATTAAAATATGTCTGACAACAGCCGAAATGATTGTCAAAAAGGTTTGTATAATTAGAACTCCTCAGACCTGGTCAGCTTTGCAAAGCGTGTTAATTTATGCAATAGACGTTTTATTTTGGAAATATTTGAGGTAAACATACATGTAAAAATACACAAATCGAAGCGACAGGTTAAGTTTAACTAGGTTAAATTTAGCGCCAGTCCAGCTTTGAATAACCGGCCTATAGAGTTGAAACTTCATGCTATCACAAAAATATTGTTTGACTGAGAAAATCTTGTGCGTTTACCCTCTCCCATCGCTGGACAATACGGTCCAATAATCAAAATGTTGTTTTGTGTCTAGGACTTTGCTTTAGATCCAGATGAGTCGCGTATGAGAGCCGCAGCCTACAGTATGGTACGGTTTATGACAGCTGGTATGGCTTTAATCACGTGTCGTGAGCCACTGAACATCAGTATTAACAATAACTTGAGGTCTACCTTAATGGCCGCATTGAGGGTAAGTATACTTTTATACATTACTTCGTGAAACACGCGAGAACTGCCACATACTGAATGTATGATCGAGAAATAGCCCGGTTTCAGCAAATATGTATGGTACTGAATGGTGATCACTTTCCAATATATTGATTCTTACGGGAACAAGCTCTGTATCAAAATCTTTTCAGTTTTCAATTTACCGTTCATTTCAAAACATTAATATAAATTCAGTTGATATCACAGTAAATTTTATTGTATTTGATTATTCCAGGGTGCAACCCCTCAACAAAAAGAAGCGATCGAGAGTGCAGCTCAGATAGTGAGTGAGGAAAACACTGAACTAGCGTGTACATTTATACAAAAGACTGCTGTGGAGAAAGCTTTGCCGGAAATGGACAAACGTCTAGCCTCGGTTAGTCAATTTAATATGGAATAATCGTTAATATTTGTTTATATTTAACAAATATAAAACATTTTCCGTGTTGATATACAGTTATATCAACACGAGTGGAAATTGGGAAAACGAGAAATTGTATGGAAACACGACGCCCGAAGGGCGGAGTGTTTTCACACAATTTCGAGTTTTCCCAACTTCCACGAGTGTTGATATAACTATATATCAATACGGAAAAAGTGTTTTATATTTGTTTTATAATATAGCAATGTCAAAAGCCCGAAGAATAAGAAAAATTTCCGTGTTACAAGCGGCGGAAAATTTCCCGTGTTGACATGGAGTTATATCAACACGGCTCTTAGCCAATCAGCGTTCAGAATTTACAAATGTTATATTATAAATATATATATATATATATATATATATATATATATATATATATATATATATATATATATATATATATATATATATATATATATATATATATATCATTTTCTCGGAACGCAGAGCTTACTGTGTGTGTGTTTTTCCAGGAATTTGAGCTACGACGACTTGCCCGCAGTGAAGGCAGACGATATTGTGATCCTGTTGTACTGACTTATCAAGCCGAACGAATGCCGGAACAAATACGGTTGAAGGTAAGGTAGAAACGTAATACACACAGTGTTATTCTGTTCACTATTAGTGTGGAGTGTGGCTGTTGCCAGAGTTCTGCCTTGGTAAACTCGCATGGTAAACTTGTATTCTCACTGGCGGGCAGAATTTGGTTGCGGGCCAACCCAACTGTGCGATGCCTTGATGTCGTGGACGGTGGAGTCTTGACCGACCCTTTCTGTCGGTTCCATCGACCATACCAAGCATGATCCTTACTATAATTTGCCTTATCACGTGTTTTGCCATTACTGTTTGCCAGTTTTCTGACCAGTCTTAATCACTAACGGCGTCACCTAACTCTAAACTCTAGGCAGTGTTCCCTCGCGCAAGTACCAGAAGACTAGCTGTCCAGAGGGTTCGACATCCAACAAATATTCTCTTAACTTTCTCCTCAGGTCGGGGGTGTAACACCAAACCAAACAGCAGTATTTGAAGAATTCGCTAAAACAATTCCTGGTTTCACAACACCCACTCCAGGGGAAAGCCTTTCAACGCCAGCTTCGTTTACCAACAACAGATCCATCTTTGAACAAAATCTACACGCGAGTGAGGTAAGAGTACATGTATACTGTATGCTACGCGAATCTGATTAGTTTGTTAATGTTGTTTAAGACATGCATCCACTCGTCTTTGGCTCGTGTTTGTACATAGATAATGCACAAGACGGCCACTCATGTTGCATGTATTACCTACAGTATGTTTATTTCTACTTTGCAGCCAGCAATTTTACCAGAAGATATCGCACAAATTCTTGGTAAATGTACTGCCGAGATAGAACAACATCTGCACGCTATGAATTTATCTCAGAGTAGTCCACATGGTTTGGCCATTGTTGGCTTACTTGATGTCTTGGTAACAGCAAGAACATCCAGAGATAGTGTGTCTCTTGCTCGCGTTGTGCATAAGGTAAGGATTCAAGGTCTTAGCCTCCAGGGGCCGGTTGTAGGCTACGAAGGCCGGACAGCGCTATCCACGTATATTAAAGTTTAGTAAGTACTACGTCTATATCCGTAGTTTCACAGTTTTTCAAGCATTTTACAAAGGTTGAAAAAATCATTATCCGGTGCATAGCGCTATCCGACCTTCATACAACCGGCCCCAGGTTCTATGTCTTTGATTTGGGGTGGATAAATTGACCTGAAGGCCCGTTTACACATGCAATTTTTGATGCGATTTTCTCCTGATGGATGTGAACGAGTGGGTGAGTTAGGAGTGTTTAGATTAGGGTACGTATATTCAGAGCATTCATAATTTATTTACTCGTTACCATCCATCAGAAGAAGATTTGTTTGTCATTATTGTCATTATATTTGTTGATGGCTTGGTAAGAAAAATAATGGATGATATGTAATACTAAACTTGCATGAAATAGTTCTTTTCCAAATTTAGTAGAATTCATTACAATTATCATTACATGCTGTTCTGTTTTAGGCTGTAAAAGGTCTTCTGGAAGGTCTTAATCCAATCCCCAGTGACACTGAGCTGGCACTAAGATACAGAGATTGTCATTTGGTTGTATTGCGAAGTTTACAAGATCCTCGGGCCTGTGGTCCACATTGGACTGGAAAACATGTTACCAAGTAATTTATTAGTTTTACTTATTATGTTATGTTATACTTTACAATCATAATGACAGAAGGGGGGGGGCATCTGTTAATTTTGTACTAGAGTTCAAGTTATATACATTGTTCTCATTTACTATAGATTTGTATGCGAATGTCCACCAGATGTAAAGTTCAATGTGGACGTCATTGACATTCTCATTCGCAGTCGCTTGATCAACATGAGAGAATTTGATATCCATTTAGCACAGGTAAATTTGGTGCCTCAAAAAATACCTTTATTCTATGGGACTATGGGCCCAGGTTGACCCGCTGGGAAAGCGACCTCGTGGTCTGAGATCCATGGGACCCAGCTGATGAGATTACCTTTGACTCTTTGCTTATTAGAAAATAATAGTTTGATTAAGTATATATAAGTTACGGTAAGAACGTTCATAGCATTAACGAGATAAACTTCATTCGTATATTGTATCATTGCAGTGCATTGAGAATGAGTTGAATGTGTCGGCCATCCACTTTGCTGTACAGTTAACAAAACTTTATCTCATTGACGAACATAGTAATCATGTTTCCCAGGTATGAAAATTTTGAAATTTGAATTTCTACTTATTTGCAAGAAATGGTTGGTGTGTTGAAGAATACCACCCATAACGCTTAGCGCTGTGTATGACCGCTACTCCGTTCATTTTTCTGATTTATCTAGGGTGAACTGTACCAGACCTTAGAGGCTTTATCTAGAATAGCAAATTCAAGAAGTGGTATTGGAGATGGGTGAGTTCTTGTCTCGTTAGGTCCGTTGTTATCAACCCTCTTTTGTATTTAGCCGTAACAGTCGTGAACATATGAAGTTGAAGAAGAACATATGAAGTTGAACATATGAAGTTGAAGAAGAACATGAAGTTGAAGAGAGTCAGAGTGTCGATATATATCTACATTTTAAATACTTTTTTTCCATTTTAGTCTGTCATCAATCCTGGAGGTCATACGTGGTGGTGGTATGAACAGTGCTAATGAATTCCCACAAAGATTTAATGATTTAGACAAAGGATCAAGTGGCCAAGCTGGATTATCATTAGGATTATCCGGATTACGGTTTGAAGATCCTCCTGGTCTACATGATAAGGTGAGGCGCAACAGGAAAATGTCAGAGTATTTTAGTGTGTTAAACCACCCACGGCACTGCAACGTCTCGATTTTCAGGTTATTCAGGAATTTTATGATTCAGGTTATTTTAAGCACGTATGCCAGATTCAACGCCTCAAATTTGCAAGTAATGATATTCAGTTCTTATCATTCTTCTATTAGGGCTTCCACAGCTAAAAACGATCAGGTTGTTGTAATATTGATGGAAACAGGATTGAACAATGTTGTGCGGCCCACATTGTTCACAGTTGTCAACAATATTGAACAATATTGTTACACCCGATTCAGGCACAACAATATTGTTCAATATTGTTGACAACTGTGAACAATGTGGGCCGCACAACATTGTTCAGTCCTGTTAAACAGTGGGCTCATAATTTTTACGCGTGTAAGTGAACAATATGTGACCCAGGTTCGATTTTTGTATCATGCAGCAGTTGTATGATCAATAACTTTATCTCATTTACGAAGAGTCGTTCCAGTTTGACTGTTGCTTACTGGAGTTTAACGAAAACAGTTGATAGTACTGTCCTGTATAGTCTGTCGTAGTGCTATAAGTCATAAAAATCGTTCTGCTCTGTTTTTACCGAAGATAGAACTTTCTTTCTCTGCCGTGTTGTCAAATATCCTGAATCTTCTGTATTTTAGGTCGAGTTTCTTCTGCGTGAATGGGTTCGACTTTACCATCAACCCGCTGCAGGAAAGGAAAGTGAGAAGGCATTTTCAACATTTGTTGCAATGGTAGGATATATATTCATTTTGCAGTATGTACAGAAGTTGTCTGGTTGTAAGGTTGCCTCAGTTTCAGAATAGTATATAGAAAGAAAATTTGACCGACACAAATTTTCGGTGGGAAAAAATTTTTGAAGTTGAAAATTTTCAACTTTTAACAATGATATTTTCTTTTAACAATTCAGATCTGTAGCCTTAGGTTGTCTGTCGTATTGATTGCGTATTATATAGAAATTATGTTGTACATTTAGCTTCATCAACATGGCATACTGAAAACAGATGATCTGATAACGAGGTTCTTTCGAATCAGTACAGAACTGTGTGTGGAAAATACCTATAGAGCACTCATTGAACACGTGAGTAACCAATAGTTCCAGTGCTTGAGATTTGATCTATTTAATTGAGCCTACATATAATATCGACATATATAAAGTCTTTGGTAGGCAAAGAGTTGTATGAGTTTCTTGTAATCTTTTTAGTCATCCAACCGAAGTCATGCTCGAGCCAAGTGTTTCAGTACTTTGGATGCATACTGTCGTTTGATAGCCTTGCTAGTTAGACATTCAGGTGATGCCAGTAATAGCGTGACCAAGATTAATCTACTCACTCGGGTAAGTACGTCATATGCAGTATCCTATAGATAAATAGGTTGGGATTCTGTAAATATAAAGGCGATAAATTCTGTGTCCCAAACTAACACGAGTGATTTCGTAAATTGATTTGCTTTCATGAATGTGTATTTTAGGTATTAGGGACTGTGGTTCAAGTATTGCTTCAAGATCATGAACTGCGAAAGACTGATTTCCATCAACTGGCCTATCACAGAATATTTATAATTCTTTTGTTGGAACTGAATCAACCAGAACCCGTTCTGGAAGCTATTAATTATCAAGTCCTACAAACATTTAGGTATGTATACAGTTCATTTTGTAGACTTTAATGTAGTATTCTGAGCAGATCTGGAAAGTGTAGATACACACCGCTCATACAGTTTTTATATCGTATACAACACAGCCGCTCATGCTGTATGTAGTATTTAGAGGCTGTTTATTGATCGCAGTTTGCCGTGACAGGATGGAAGACAGATGGTTGTGATCACTAGGCTTAAACGAAAGTTCAAACGCCAGTTAAAAGAACTCAATGAGATGTTGTCGAGATCTCGTAGTTCAATAAGATTATTATTACTGCTTGAACAACCTTTCGTTTACAATTATAGTATAATCTATCTCTAGAAAAATAATGTAGTTTTACTGAATCATGCACTGTGACTTATTTCAATACATCAAAATCATCCTACCTTACATCTCGTTTCGGCAAAACAGGATCATGTAAACAGCCCCCTGCTTTCCACTTCAACCGAAGCGTGGCGTATTTCTTTGTTTCCTGAGCACTAGAGTGAAGTGCGGCACGATATGGTCGAAGTGGAAAACAGGTTTTATTCATTCATTTCCACATGACTATATTGTGGTTTATCTTTCCTGCAGTACAATCTTCCATGCTCTGCGTCCATCACGTGCACCTGGATTCGCTTACGCTTGGCTGGAACTGATCTCACATCGCATGTTTATGTCAAAGTTACTGTTAAACACACCACAACAAAAGGTTTGAAGATTCATCATTATCTTTACTGATGAAAAAGATCAGAAAAGAGAATCTATGTACACTAATAATCCCACCTCGGATATATTTTTCCTTTGTATAGGGTTGGGTGTTGTTTCAGCAATTGTTGATAGATTTATTCAAATTCCTTGCTCCATTCTTGAGAAATGCCGAGTTGAATAAACCGACTCATCTTCTTTACAAGGTAAAACTTAATTTTATACATTATATATGATTTTATCGACTTGATCACCTAAACTGGGTTTATGCCTATTTCATTAATATTTTATAATTGTATGGTTCCCTTATTGTGCACCAAATCGGTGAACAACTAATTTTCTGTAATTTGTTATTTTAGGGAACTCTGAGAGTGTTACTGGTCCTGCTTCACGATTTCCCAGAATTCCTGTGTGACTATCATTTTAGCTTCTGTGACGTTATTCCACCTAATTGCATTCAAATGCGAAATTTAATCCTCAGTGCATTTCCAAGAAATATGAGATTACCTGATCCTTTTACTCCGAATCTAAAGGTAATGTGAAAGTCTAATGGTTACTGGTTGGACTGAAAACGATTGCCAATAAAAAATTTTGTCACGAGAGTTAGTATCTTCATACTGTATTTCAATGCTCAGCCAACTCATGTATTTGTTATTTAGGTTGATTTGCTTACTGATATTGCTCACTCCCCCCGGATTTTAACAAATTTTGCGACGGCTATCCAACCCCCTACATTTAAAAAGGTATGCTGTACTGTTCATTTGTCTATTGTAAGAAGTGCATGCTTTCTGTATATCGTGTTTTTAACCATCGGTAACCATTCTGATGAACACGAGATCTTTACGTTAAATATTTCTGATTTTGAAACTATTGCAGGAATTGGATTCCTATTTGAAAACTAGAGCTCCAGTAACGTTCCTGACTGAACTAAGATCACATCTACAGGTAAACATTACTTGTACAATCGCTATCACTTGCAAACAGGCAGTGGCAAATGACAAAACTCTGAACTCGCAGTTGCACTTGTAGTCAACTCTAAAACTAACTCACTATATACGGTAGTGTCATAACTTTATTCCATAAAATTGTCTAGGTATCTATGGTAATTCCAAATTTCTACTTTCCAATCGTTTTTTCTGCAGGTTGCGACAGAGCCAGGCACCAGATACAACGTACCATTAATGAACGCCCTAGTTCTGTATGTTGGTACCCAAGCTATTGCCTATATTCACAGTAAGAGTGGAACACCAAGCATGTCGACTATCACTCATTCATCCCATATGGATATCTTTCAGAATCTTGCCGTTGACTTAGATACTGAGGGTAAGCTTGCTCCAAAGTTTATGTACGTTAAATTCCACACCTCTCCTCCCGGAAACAGTCTTATTGTTTTTTTAGCCATGTTTCCCAAAGCTTGGACAGTCCAAGGAAAATTTTGTTTTATAATAAACTAACTACAATTTGTTTCTGTGTATTTCCAGGTCGGTATTTGTTCTTGAATGCAGTCGCGAATCAACTACGTTATCCAAACAGTCACACTCACTACTTTAGTTGTGTTTTACTTTATCTCTTTGCTGAGGCAAATACTGAGGCTATTCAAGAACAGATCACTAGGTAAAGTATGCTTGCTTTTATCAGGCGTGTGGTATACATATGATTTAAAGCCATTTGGGTAATTAGTAAACCCCTCTCTCTGTTAAGCCATTGTTTTTCATTGTTATTTGTCCATATTCTTCTTCCTCAGAGTACTATTGGAAAGACTTATCGTAAACCGTCCTCATCCCTGGGGATTGCTGATAACATTCATTGAGCTTATCAAGAATCATCAATACAAGTTTTGGACTCACGATTTTGTCCATTGTGCTCCTGAGATTGAGAAGTATGTAAATATTTATTGTTGCGTGTAAAGGTATCGTTGGATGCTGGTCTATTTCATATCTGTTCCATATTTAGGCTATAATACTTTGGGGTGTGTGGTACCATTAGTCTTGGGAGTCAGGGCTGGCAGACCTTCAATTGCTATATGGAATGAAAAGTGATAAAATCTAGTAAAATTAAGTGTTCCATATCGTTTCTTCGTTTCCAGGTTGTTCGAGTCAGTGGCACGAAGCTGCATGCAACAGAAACAGCCTCAAACAAGAGAGGGTGGTGCGCCTGAAACTACGTAAAGATGCTCAGGCTTGTGGTCAGGCTAATAATCCGTTTGGTTTTGTCATTGTTTTGTATAATGGTGTTAGCATAGTGAATTTTCAAATTTAATAAAGCTAAAACTTCAATAATTGTAAATGCAAACTATTCATAGGTGGGGATCTGGTAGGGGAGTGCATAACTTAGATACGGCGGGAACATTATTTTGAACAATCAGGCCCAGAATCAGTAGGTACAGCGTACCAGTGATAAGGTGGGGTTTTTCAGGAGGAAGCAGAGTGGAAGGGGGTGGGGGGAATGGTGAGATGAGGAAATCAACTGAAAACATGTGGGATGGTAAAAATATTAACATGGTATTCGGTATTTAAGAAGCCCTGAAACAAAATGGTGAAACAAAGTAATGTTCTGCATTCCTAAACCCCATTGAGGCAATGCCATTCTTGTGGCATACTGGGGTATGTTTTAACACTAACTCATACAATTTATTTCAGTTCAGGAATTTGTAGTAACACTGCTTGAGTGCTTATCTGTTTAAGTATTGCAGTTTAGGTACATGTGTAGATATTTAGGCTAAGATTGAGGATTATAATGAGAGTCAGAGCTAATACAGCTGGGTTTAGGATTAAAAAACACACACACAAATTAAAATGCACCTTTTATTGTTGCTTGTAATTTACAAAACCTTTGAAACCATACATCCAAAACTTTCTACTCTAAACAGAGTTTTTGAAAGTTTCATCATTAATCAAATAATTTTGCAATTAACACTTCAACTATATGCATGTCTAGATTATTGGCTGATAAGAGCCTCGATATCTGTAGCCAAATCAATTGTAGGGAAAGTCTTTCCATAACGACGATACGGTATGCCATTTTTGTCGACCAAGAATTTCTCAAAGTTCCATCTGATATCACTTCTCAATAATGGTTTCCATTGGATACCTGTTGGATTGGCCATAAACAAGCCATCTGGGTCTTCATCGGATGGCATCGGCAGATTGGATTTGAGGAACTGGAAAACAGGATGGACGTCTTTACCGTTGACATTGACTTTTGAGAACATTTCGATTTTTGGTTCAAAACTGTCACCAGGTCGGACATGTTTGAGAATGTCGAGAATTTCTTCATTCTTGCAGTTTTCCTGATGTCCAAACTGGTTACAGGGAAATCCCAGAATATGGAGACCTTTGGATTGGTATTTTTCCACAAGTACATTCATCTGGTGAAAAAATGGAAAAATCAATCTGGGTGTTTTGTTTAGCACAATAGTGTAATTGGTGTATATTTAGAAATGTTGATATATATTTATGATAATATATAAAGATATATATTTAGAAATGTTGGGAATTAATATACAAGCAAGAAAATTAAACTTCATCTCTCCATTCTACAGTGGTCATCAAATTTAAGACTATTTTATAACTTTTTCAGTTTGATATTAATCCTTTAGTGTTAATGTGCCCTACTTTATTGTTTTATACTCTGCCTAATGCCAGATTATTTTACTCTTTCTAATAAGTAATGCCTGACGATTTTACTCGTTAGGGGGAGAGTGCAGCACCACTCAATGGGTTAAACTGTTGGCTGACCACATATTAAGCATTTTCATGCAGAGATCAGCAGTTATCAAAGTGAGAAACATCTTTTTAATGTTTGTAATACATGATTCCGGAAAGTGTCGCCATGGCTACATATATAGCCTCATTTTCATGATTGACATATTGTGATTTTTAACCAATATCTCACATGCACAAAAACAAGGCTCTATATAGTGACATGCATTCCAGAAAGGTGGTGTATTGTATTGTCTTTTATTTGGTGGCAAATATACCAATTTGCTTGCTCTTGACAACTCTTGTTCAATCCAGACTTTCTTTTGAGTTCAGTGTCTCAAGGGATAGTTATATCCTGAATCGTTTATATCATAATTTATATATTTCTCGATTTATTTATATAGTAATAAATCTATATTCCTGCTCGAGTTAAACACTATATTTCTTTATTACCTGGGTAAAATCCCTGACGGTCGTGCCTCATAGAGACGCAGTGTTTTGGATCAAGACAACTTTGCCTTTGTACTTCGAAAAATCGATTTCCTCTCCGTTCAAAGCAATTGCACTGAGTTTATAAAAATCTTGAACAGCAGAACTTATAAATCGTTTTGCCCCACGCGAGACAAGCATTGCCATTTTTGTCAATAAAAACAAAAAAATTGCAAAGCAAGAGATACTATAAGGTTTGTGCAGCCAAGCAAAACACGTGCAGTTTGAGAGAGAACTGGGTTAGAGAATGACTTTTGGGCAGGGGCAGGGTGTGGTCCACCAGGGTCCCCAATAAACTTGTCGCACTCTCTACAGAAATGAGGGACATTTTTTAACAGACCAGTGCTGCTACAGGAGGAATCCTAAACTAAATACTCAATATCAGTTCCTCTGTCCAGTGTCCATAAAACTGTTCTTACGAATCAATTCACGCTATTCGCACTATTAACTTACCACTGTTCAGATGTGAGAATAGCATGGAACAAAGGTAACCAAGCATGTTCAGTGATCACAAACAGAACAGAACAAGTGTTTTTAGATTAGTTCTATATTTGAAATATACTGTACTATTTGAAACTACAAACTTCACGGAGCCACCTTTAATGAACCTGCTCAGTTGATGTAAAGGACTGGGACCAAAAACCAATATGGCGGCCTGAAATTGTTTTAAAGTTTTTCTTGTGAAATTTGGTTGAAAATGGCACTTAATACGTGGGTTACCGATAAACTTCACGACATACTGGGCTTCTCTGATAAACATACTGTAGAGTACCTTGTTAGTTTGAGCAAAAGCACTAAAACATCGGAGTCTTTTCGCGAAAAACTTCAAGGCTTTCTAGGCCCCTTGGACGGTGATGTTCTGAACTTTGCAAATGATCTGTGGCAGCGTGTACCCCATCAAGAGGTAATCCTTTAATCGCTTTATATTGAAATAATAGATACAATTTAAATGCCGTAGTTGCTGTTTTGCAGATAATTTAAACACACTTTGAATTTAATACTGCGGTCAGTACGGTGATTCAATCACCTGATTTACTCACCGTAGACTATAAAATCCAGACTGAAAAGTTTAGAGCGCATTAGAGCGCACTTTTGAGCCTACGGTATTCTCATATGCACAAACTCCGGAATCTCCTTTGTGCATTTACAAACTATCCAGTTTGGCTAGACTGCACAATGCTCTCCCTTCACAACAATCTCGTTCCCCGAGCCGGCGATCCTCGGGAAGAAACGCGAGGCTCTGGGATAATCCGTTGCTGGAAGCCAGGAATCCTGGCTAAGACCGAACTGTGCATTCCATATCAACGGCCAATCAGATTCCTCCCTGAAACGGATTATCCCAGAGCCTCGCGTTCCTTCCCAAGAATCGCAGGCTCGAGGAACGAGATTGCCTTCACAAGTATTAAAATTGTCTGGCATTATCTAGAGTAAAATAATAGCGCCAGGTGAGTTTGGGTGATAGCAGCTTAATGAGCTTATTGCTGCTCAGTATTTTTTTGTCAAAATACACACACACATATATAGATAACAAATGTCCCCTTGGCTGTATGTGAGACAGTGCACATACAGGTCAGAGGAAGGCCCTCTTTATGCATGAGTCAATTCCAGGAGTAACCATCCC